TTAAACTCGCCTAGCTGAGTCTGCCAAAAACGTACCTATGTGATAAAAATATTTTGAACAATTTCCAGTTTGTGTGGAAATGTTTCTACAGTGTTAATAGAAAAGAGTATAGGTACTAAGTCAAAAGTCAAGTTGTATAATAGTAGATTCATAAAACTGAACAACTTTTCCCAAGCCGTATTAGTAGAACATTAAATAAAAGAAAACCTACATACATAGCTGCTAAGCGGTCGCGTGATCAATTTCATATGAAAAGCATATTAAATGTTATACCACTTGGAATCTCGATCGATCCCCCATCCAATTGGTAATAATGTAAGTCCTTCCGCGGGTTTGAAGTGTCATCTGCACTGGCCCCCTATCGTTCGATGAAGCTGTAAAGCACTCGTTCCTTGTTGCAATCAAATAATATTGTCAGCGTTATTAATTTTAAGTTATTTCTACAAAAATATTATTGTCATTTACAATCATTACAATTCTGGAAAAAAGGGCGAGCACAATTCATCTCCGCAGGTCGCAGTACTACAGGTCTAGAATACCTTGTAATTTTCTCTCTTTAATGGGGAGAATGGAATTGTTAGTAATGTGGACTAAAAATCCCATTACTAGCAATGTACACGTCCACGCGGTTCGTCCTGGAGACCATCGTGAACACCTCAGGCCAGAGACAGCCAGCCCAGCACAGTCCCTACCACGGCGGCAGAGAGGCCCTCGAACAACGCCGTTTTGTTCATTAGCTTGTGACAAGTGTGCAAGTGTGTGGGTTACCTTGTTGCAAAGTTGTTCTGCAGTAAAAGTGAAGTTTTGCAGTATTTCTATTTGCATATCAATCTTTGTATAAATTACTAATTTATTGCTAGCAATACCATGTCAGGTTTCACTCCACGCGGTGGAAACCATGGTGGTGTTTCCCCTGGAAAATTGCTGATGAATTTATCACGATGGGACAACTGACGTGACCTCATGCTTATCCTATCATCCACCACTGGTGCCCCGCCAGTGTAAACCGTTAGCGTAGGCGGGTGCACCATTCCATTACCATCCATTAAAGCTCAAACCCCTCTATAAAATCTTATAGATTCTCGCGTCACAGTGGTAATTGCCATACTTCACAGCTTAACCGATTTTATTGAAATTTTATATGTATACTCAATAGGTCATAGAATAGGTTTTTATATATTTTTTAATAGCTATATTAATTTATATGGTAAATCTCTTGCAAGAAGTTGTTCAGTTTTATGTTTCAGTTCAGAACGTGTTTTCAGATGTTCACTTTTAGTCCAGTAAAATTTTCAATAAAATTTTGATTTAAGTTGACAGAAAAGGGATGAAAAAATTAAAAAAAGAGTTGAAAAACACCTTTTTTTCAAAATAACACGATAACGGTAAGAAATATGAATAAAAAATTAAATAAAAGTTGAAGAGAAAAAAATTCTGCAGAAAACAAGTCCTTATCTACTGTTGTTTAGCCACAAAAATATTTCTTAGTGAAAAACATTCAGTATCATTTATATTGTGCCTATAATATATATATATATGGTACTATACTCTTTACGAATAACTCTGTATAATCGGAATTATAATCTAGAGTGGGCGGCGGCTCTTATATTAGTAGTTTGTAATATCGACTGAAGATCATGATCTCTACCATATATTGATCTCAAAATATTAATTTTAGTGAGGTAACATTATCGCTTTTTTGCTAGTTTCAGTAAGCTCGACTATATAGCGAATGTCGTGTACTAATTAATTTGTGTTTGACAGCCTCGGTGGTCTGGCGGTTTAACCTTTACTTTCAATGGTCGCGGGTTCGATTCCTCACACGGTGCAAACATTTGTATTCGTGAGTATGATTGTTTGTATCGGTCTGGGTGTTTTCTATGTATAATATGTATGTATTTTTAAAAATATATCAAGTGTCTAGTACACATAACTGTTTACCGGCTACTGGCTAGATGGCGCTGCGTTAAATGTCCATTTTTATTTATTTATTTATGTAAAATTAATGAAATTATTTTAATTTGCTAAAATGTGACATGTACATAAAAATATATATGACATTTTGTAGTGCTGATATATAGCCTAGGTATATGGTTGAGTCTTTTGTTATCTTCCATATTTGTCCCCTTGTATTGTTTATTTTTAAATTATTGTGCAATAGAGCATCCTTTAGATTTAATTGTAATTATAAATAAGTATCCCTAGGTATATATCCATTTATTTTACTATAGAATATTCTCTTGTCTATGGTTGAACTTACTGAATTTAATTTAAAAACAAACTTTGTGCACAGAGCTCTAAAGTCGAGTTTACTGAAGCAATAGCATGCAGGAATCGACGCCACGTCGGCGTTTAGTAACCCATTGTCAAATACATGCAATCTTTTCATAATCATTTTATCAATATATCATATTCTGCATATATATTTTTTTGTTATAGATTTGTGTATTTTAATAAAATTTTATAATAATAATTGTTTGTGAAATTGCGGGACAATTTGATACGAATAAAATGAATTTTAAGCTTATTTTCTTTTATTTTTTTTATCTTACTAATATTATACACGCGACAGTTTATGATGGAGGTATGGATGTTTATTATTTGATGAAACTTTACAGTAATACAGCTTATACATCAGAATAACACGGGTTTAATTTAAAAGATATTATGTAAATTGGGCTAATTATAATGATAAATGTCAAGTAAGTGTGATGCAAATGAAATTGCATGGGTCAGTTAGTATATCAGATACCGAGATATATGTACAAAGTCGTTGGTGTTTCCACAAATTTAAAAGACTTAGGTAAATCAGTCTTACTTCATCCGCTAAGGGGCTTGGTATGAAAAATGTGTTTCAGATGAAGAGCAGTGAGATGAGATATCACACCTTAATTAAAATCCTTAAAATCCTCCAGAATAGCAAAAATCATCACATGTCATGTGATGACCGTTGCTGACGTTATGGCCCTGGTGCTGTTCACGTATATAAGCGATGTTTGTCAGATCCCCCGTCCAATTGAAATGGGGATCGAAATTACGACTGAGCCGAGGTTAGAACCCCTAGCGCTGTCCTCAGACTAAAGTCGTATCCGTATAATATCGTATAAGGCAGGAGTTGGCCTTCAGCCATAAGTTCTTCCTCGGGTTTGGAGTGCTATCTGCACTCGCCCTCTACCGTCCTGTGAAGTTGTAAAGCAATCATTCCTTGTGACATCAAATAATATTGTCAGGGATATGAATTTTAAGTTATTTCTACAAAAACATTATTGTCATTTACAAAATACAAATTTTATTTTAGTACCTTTTTAAAACGAAAGTGTAAAAAAATAGCTAAAGATTCAAATGTCGTATAACATTTGAATCTTTAGTTATTTTTAAACTTTCGTGTTTAATATATATTATTTATATTATTAACCGGGTCTTAACATTACTAATTTTACGGCAAATAAAAGTATTTACCTCTCAGTCAGCTCATGACCAGTGCAGGGCTAGTGCAACCTAGTCGGAACGTCGAGTGAGGTAAATATCTTTATTTACCATAAAATTATTCCTGCTAAAACCCGGTTAATAACATATATAATGTATTTGTATCTTTTTTCAGAGAGAGACTCTGGTGTTATATTAAAGAACACATGTAGAATTACCATAAGGTAGCCATTTTTTGCCACTATAGCGGTGTTTCCTAATTAGTGGTACGCGCACCCCCAAGGGTACGTGAAACTTCACGTACCCTTGGGGGTGTCCCGCACGTACCCCTTGATGCAACTGCATCAAGGGGTACGTGCGGGAACAGTAGAAACAAGAACCATTTCCAAAACAGTATTTTATAAGGATCATTGTAAAAGCACGGAGCCCCGAGCACTATAACCCACCGTGCGGTATCCCGCGCCTGCCGCATCTCGTCATTATTTTGACGCAGGCGTTTGAGCGTGAAGAAGTATCAAACATACATACACACTCACAAAATTTTGCTTTTATAATATTAGTGTGATTGCTACAATAAGGGGTACTCAAGGTTTGAAGTCTTTTTTGAAGTGGTACGCAGCAAAAATTATTTGGGAACCATTGCACTAAAGAATTATGTATTGTCTAGGTGAGATGATATAATATCATATAACATTTGGCTGTTAACTGAAGCATTAATCTTGGGCATAAGCCAATTATTATTAAAACACCAATGGTAAAAATACTGGGACGTATTTAGATCTCTAATGAACACCTGTCTCTATAGGTATACAATTTTTTTTTAATTAAGGATTTTTTTGTCATTTGCTGTTGTCACAGACACAGAAGAAAAAATATTTTCATTATTATATTTCATGAGTAATAAATTCACGGAGATCGTGGTAAGAGGCAAGAGCTCCACCAACAAGAGTGAGAGACTTTTTTATAATGGAATGGTGCATCCGCTTGCGCTAATGGTATACGATGACGGGCCACCAGTGGAGGGTGATAAGATGAGTATGAAGTAAGAACAGTTAGCCTATCGTTGCAATTAACAAGATGATTTCCAGGGACAACGAGGTCTACCTGCCATGGTATTATACTAACAATAGGGTTAAGAATCCACATTACTAACCGCCCCCTTTCCGAATTAGCATCTTAATGCATAAGTTTATAATCTTATTAATATTATAAATACGAAAGTTTGTGAGTATGGATGTTTGTTACTCTTTCACGCAAACTACTGAACGGATTTTGTTGACAATTTACAGTGATATAGCTGGGAGAGAATGCCATACGGCATTTTCGTTCAATGAAGAATAAATAAATATAGCCTATGTATCAGAATAACATAGTCTATTAATTTCACGTGGGTCAAACCCCAGGCACAGCTAGTAAAATAAATATAATGACGACAGCATAGCCTAAATTATATAACTAGCTGATCCGGCAACCTTTTGTTATTTATTATCATTCAAATGGACCTGAGTACGATCCTGCTATTTCTACGCAAATCACCAATACTACTACCGGCAGCTTGACGTATACAAGTCTCAATGATCATACGTAATTTTGATTCTTATAAAAATAACTATAGTATAATAACGTCGACCATTGCCGAGTGAGCTCTGATCCAACATGGACACAGAAGACAATTTAGTAGTCTCCGTGCTGGACTTGTATAAAGAAAAAAAATGGCGGGAAATAGTAGACAGGTGCCATGATCACCCTGAGAGGAATAAGTTACTGTGGGTGTTCCCATCGGAGGCAAATTTGAATTTTATGAGTGAATGTTTAGCGGACTTGAAATGTGACAGGGTGCTCAGCATCGGATGTGGTAGCGGTCTGCTGGAATGGATCCTCATTGAGGCAACGGGTTGGTTTCATTAACATTTGTAGCCACGGATTAGCACACTGCCTAATTTTCATTGATCGCTGGTTTGTTGTCACAGATACAGAAGAAATCCAGAAATTTGCCTTCATAAATATTTTTCATGAGTATCTAATAAGATCGTGGTAAATGCAAAGAACACCATCGACAAGAGTGGAGCTCTTTTTATATAATAGATGTTAATGGTATGGTGCTCTCGCCTGCGCTAACGGTTTACATTGGCAGGGCACCAGTGGAGGACGATAAGATGAGCTTGAGGTCAGGTCAGTTAGCCCATCGTGACAAATTCATCATTCTTTCGTAATGGTTTCCAGGAGCAATTGCGTGGAGGTCAACCTGATATGGTACATTGTAACCCCTATACTCTAGGGGGAAAGGGGATTGTTAGTAATGTGGGTTGATAACCCCATTGCTAGCAATGTACAATGTCAGGTCGACCTCCACGCGGTTCCCCCTGGAAACGATCGTAACAAATTCCTGGTGAGCTTGTTACGATGGGCTAACTGACCTGACCTCACGCTCATCTTATCATCTTCCACTGGTGCCCCGCCAGCGTAAATCGTTAGCGCAGGTAGGTGCACCATTCCATTGTCATCCAAAAAAAAAAAACCCCTATACTCTTTATATACCTATTTATATTACAAACATTTGTATCAGTTTTTTAGTATTCATAATAAATATAACATAAAGTCTAGGGACTAGTGTGAAATACCAAATTTTTTTTATTTTGATTTATGTAACTGAAGATGTATAGTATGTACCTACATATATGGAAAAAGGTCAGGTGTCACGATAGTAGACAATTTTGTCTGTGGTTGCGAGTGTAATGTAAAATAATACATGTTGTTATACTCATAAAGTTTACAGCTGTTCGTTGGTCATTAACGAACTAAATAAATGACCACCATTCTACCTAATAGAATATCCAAAATAAATTAGTAATATACAGCATATGGTTATTTAAGATGCGATGTACTATTAAATTTTCTAATATTTATCTATCTAAAAGCAATGTATCCTGTCAGGTTGTCCTCCTCGCAGTTCCCCCTGGAAACCATCCTGATAAATTCCTGGTGAATTTGTCAGGGTGGGCTGACCTGACATGACCTCGGCTCATCCTATCATTCTCCTCTGGTGCCCCGCCTACGTAGACCATTAGGGCTGGCGGGTCCACCATTCCATTATCATCCACTAAAAATATTTATATTCAATGCATGTAAAATAATTTCGATATTTCATATCAGCCAGGCCTTCCGTGACGACTTTTTTTTATATTTCACAGGTTTCCGAGTATCAGGGGTGGAAGTAGATGGCGCTTGGTGGCAATGTAAATATGCGCCGCCTACTTTTATACCTCTCCTTCTCACTTCTCCTAAATTAGACAAGGATGTAATGAACCTACTGTTAGAAGGAAGCACGACAGCCTTATTGTTCTGTTACTTCAATAATAGATTAGCTTTTAATGAATATTTGAAATATTACTCCGGAAGGGTGTTGGTTATTATTGGGCCAGGGGACGGTAAAGGTGTCCATACGGACCCTAAGCCCTTTGGTGACGTTAGCCGCGACTGGATATTACATAAGTGGGAGGAGGTCAGAAATAGCAAAGATTATATAGCCGTATACTATAAAACGATAGACTCAAAATGCTAATGTGATGTAAGAAAACAAGTTATATGTATAACAGTATATTTATAAATAAACAGTCTTTTCATTGTGCCTATAAAATATTCTAATTAAATACATATTTAATTTTTCATTAACTCTATATTTTTTACATTAATTTTGTTAGTGCAAACCCTAACTGATGTGTTCATCATGGGATCTTTCTTTCCTTGTATGAAGCTTAGGAAATCGTTGCCGGAACTATCTAGCGTTGCCGCGTCGACGGTTTCTTTCTGATTTACAATTGGTACCTCAGTTATCAGTCTATTCATTTCATTCACAGCTACATTGGTAGGTATACTAGTGGATGGTGAATCGTTTTCTAAAAAGTGGAAATCAGGCATTAAGTAAAGAGATTCTAGAGGGAAATTCATGTCGTACCTCGGCAATAGTTTATTGTCGTCAGAGTTGTCGTCTATTTCTATAACATCGTTCTGTTGATCATCAGATACTTCCGGAAGCACCACCGCAGACAGATCCAAGTGTCCCGGATACTGCTCTCCAACGAGGTTGTCTGTTAAATACAGGTCGATTGTAAGTGGATTAGCTGACGTGTTGCTCATTGGTAAGTTGTAGAAAGCATCCGATTTCACTTCGTTTTTTATTTCATTCATATTTTTATGAATATCCTCAAGAGGGGGAGAGGCCTTGTATTCCCTACTTATAGCTTGATTGGTCAGTATATTCGCATTGCACATGCGTTCCAAACTCGGGGATTGTGTATTCTGTTTTATTGTCGATTCTAATTTAATATAACTTGGGTCGTTATTCTGTATCTTTTGCGGTGGAGGCAGCAATATTATAGGGTTCACATTCATTTGTTGATTGAAAGTGAATATCTGTGAGTCGTCGTTCATGCCGCTGTCGACAGGGGTTGTCGAGGGATCGTCCAACATTGTCTCCTGCGCATAAGGTAGTATGTCATTCGGTGACTCACTAAGAACTGGTTCTGGTGGCAACTGCATGAACTGCTTAGTAATTAAATTGTTGAATGTCACTGGGTTGCCTAATCCATACCGTTCGTTGTCTTCTAATCTCTTGAATGCCATTTTTTGTTGTGAATGAAACATGTTCTCTTCGTCTGGCCCTTTCAAGATTAAATTACTTTTTACTGATATTTTAGGTTTTTTCCTTGGCACTCCCTCAGGTTCGTTAGAAATATTAACGGGCGAATTACTTGAAGACGGCACTGGTAGTATTTGAGTTGGTTTTATAATGGGACCAGTAACTTTAGTGGGAAACGATAATTTATCTACAGGTTTGAGCATTATGTTGTTTCGTACTGATATTTGTGGGACAGGTGGCAGCCTGATAGGAAAATTACCCATGATATTGTTCCCTATACTGTTACTAATAGGAGAATGACTAGAAGCTAAAGAGTTTACATTGTTATTTTGCAATAAGGTCTGTTCCATCGATACAGATGTGTTGAGAAAACCATGTATATTAGATTGAGAGTTATCATAAGTAATCTCCAGAGGGTGTTGTTGTGTGAACTGATGTCTGTCCATCAAAGTATCGTTGGAGCTCTCAGAGATGAGACAGTCTGAATTATTGTCATCTTTGCTCAAATCTGTGACAATTACTTGATTATTAAAATCGTTTGGCTGCACTTCACTTGTTGACGACGCACAGAATGATTTCGAGTAATCCTGCGGTATACTTTCTGAAAAACTATCACAATCGTATATTTCTATAGGTATAGTGTTCACTGTTTTAGGACTAATCTCTTTGTTTTGCTCATTCTCAATTGGAACATCATTGACAGGAATCTCTGCTGTGCCACTGGGTATATTCCAACTTGGTTTGTTTGTTTTGACCTTCATCATGTCAACTAGTAGTTGTATGCCTTCTTTATCTCTGTGTGTAGTTAGATGGAGTACATACTTTTCCTTGTTGACAGTTTTAAATTTGCAATAGGGACATTGGTGGATGTCATCGGAATTAACGTTAGGATGTTTCGAGATCATGTGTGAAGCGAACAAGGTCGACTGTATGGCCGTGTATGGGCAGTATTTGCACTTGTATACACCCTCCTTGGTATGTTGCTTCTTGTGTCGCCGCAAGGCATTGTGATCTGCAGATCTGTAGCTACACTGGCTGCACGCATACGGTTTGTCACCTATAAATAAGTACGATGTTTTAGATAAAAAATAAATACATATTATATTTGAAGTAATTCTAATTAATTAAATAAAAAAAAACATACTTTACCGCCTAACACAAAATGGTAACTTTCGCTCACATGTGTCATAAATATGTTATATAAACATGACATATGTATTTACATACTTTTGTCATATCACTATTCTTTAAATCAGGATACAACTTTTGTAAGTTTAGTTGAGGAAACTGTTAGGTCGAAAAATATACACAGAGGTCCTAATGAAGACAGGAAAAAAAAAAAATAATAATAATAATAATAATATCTCACCACAATTCACACGGCGCCATCTAGTCCCAAGCTAAGCAGAGCTTGTGTTATGGCTACTAGACAACTGATATAAATACATGGATACATTTTTTTTCGTAAATTAATACATATTATACATAGAAAACACCCAGACCGATACAAACAATCATACTCATGAATACAAATGTTTGTACCGTGCGAGGAATCGAACCCGCGACCATCGGATAGTAAAGCGGTGTGCTAAACCACTAGACCACTGAGGCTGTCAAATGGTATGGTGATATGATACTTATATCATAAGATCATACACGTACGGGCCACTGTCCCTTAAACAAACACTTGTACACAATAGGTGCTACAGACAGTCCCCTTGTCAGGGCTGCTTTCAAGCCATTCACGTAATCCTGGAGTGTGTTGCATAATGGCCAATGAACACAAATCTTCGTAACGGTAAGGTCGCTTCGTGAAGCCTGTGAAGACACCAGATTTCCGCGCTTTTGGGAGGAGTTTGCTACTTTAATAGTCTCGGCTCTGTACATGCAACGGTCCAGACGAGACCCTGTTTGCAGAGAATAAAGTCCAATTTACATTACATACCCGTATGTGATCGTGAGTGCAGTCTCATCTCGTTCTTCCTAGCTGAAGTGTAGTTACAGTAGATGCATTTAAATGGTTTCAGTTTCTCATGTACAGCAGTCACATGGACCTTGAGTTTCCTGGGATCGTTGAATTCCTTCTGACAGATTGAGCACTGCACAGGCTCATTTTGTTCCTTGTGAAACAACTTATGTTTTGAGAGTTGGTTTGCATTTTTAAATACCTTTAAACATATTGAACCTGGTGATAAAAAAAATGTAATTTCAAAATATAATAAGACATAATATATATTAAGTTTCTCATAAATAGCTAAATTGATTCTTAGTGCAGCCCCGTCAATGTGATGTGAGGGATATAGTAGAAATTCTAGGATAAACAATTTTAGTAGAAATGATAGAAGTGATATCAAATATAGAATGACAGGAAATTGAACTATTGCCTACAGATATAGTACATATATGAAGTGAAATCAAATTTATTTGCTAGAAACATTTTCTTTTAGAAATTTAAATTATATATCTGATTATAGCCATAAGGCTGATGGCAGATGGAAAGAGAAAAGAAAAAAAAAAAGGAAAAATTTTCTAAATAAGTGTCACATTTATTATTACAATTATTATGTCCAATATGTTTCAGTATGGCAAGTTTAAATGTTTTGAGTGCAAATTATATTTGAAATCATTTGATATACCTTATTTCTTCAACACTGTTATCATCTAGAAATCTGTTATCAACAGATTTTGCATTCCTCAGTCTATTATTTGCCATACTCAGCTAAGGAAATTCTGGATTATTAATATAGTTAAAGGTTATTTATTTCAACTAGGTTGTTAGCCTAATCTTTCCACCAGGTTGCCTAGTGCAACCTAGTCGAAACATCAAGAGTAGATTGAGAACCTTTATTTGACATAAAATTATTTGTGTTAAAAACCATTTAACTATATTAATAATGAGTATTAAAACATACAACGGCCCAGATGTGAGGCTGATTGCGGAAAATGGAGTCTAACTTACAATGTGTACTATACGCAAAACTTTATAATAAGAAATTATGAATGTTCAGGAGTTATGTTTAATATAAATTTGAAACATTGATATTATTATAAACTTACTCATTTGTAACATTGTTAAGATCAAATACTTACATGTGTAATTATTAACGACACCATGGCATTTCATATGCAAGTTGAGAAGCCTATACCTCTTGTAGGTTTTGAAACCACAGATCTCACATGTGGGCAATTCAAGATCCACCTTGTGTTCCTTCCACAAATGTGTGTGCAGGGCTTCCACAGTAAGCAGCACTTTGTCACATTCCAGACAAACCAATTTTCCATTCTGGTGACATTTTGTGTGATATGTTAGCTTATCATCAGCCTTCAAACGTGTGTGGCAGCCAATTACTGAACACAACTTGCCTAATCTTTTCTCAATGTCCTTTCTCTTTGTGTCCTCACAAATCGTGTTATTTAAATTTTGAACTGACATCTTCGTTAACTCTATATTGTCTTTCGACGGTGATGTCAATTTGTTCCCTTCGTTTCCAACTCGAGGGAGAACGGATGAAATTAAATCAGGTGTAACACTTGACATCTGTATAAGGTTACAGCTTGTGCTTGTGGTTGCTTCATCTGTTACATTAACATACTGCGTGGACACTTCATTCGTGTACACAATATTAATGCTGGCTTCTTGAATGATTTCTTTCGGATCTATTTTCTCAAAGTTGGGTGTACTCATCTTATTCAACTCATCTACTGAGATAAATGCAACACCTTTTGGCAAGTCATTATTGGTAGTTACAACATCGGGAACTATTTCAATCACCTGTGGTATTTTTACATCACTCATTTCTTGTGTGCTAGGTGCTGTCGATGTGGTACTGACATCATCATGGTCCCTTTTTAACTTTGAATTTTTTAAAGCAATTTGCACTAAACTTTTAACCATTTTCTTCACATCTTTGATGCCCATCTTGTGGTGATTGCGTAAATGGGTTCTTAGCGTCTCTTCGGCGTCAAAAATACTGTTACAACCTGGGCATGGAATCTGTATGTTGTCTGCAAGGCCGTTGCTCTTAGCAAGGTCTGGGTGGACAGTAAACAAATGGAATTTTATGTCATCTTCAGCAAGCGCCATGTATGGGCAAGCCTCACATTTGAAGAATGCTGTTGACCCTACCGATTTCTCTTCATACGACATTACTTTTTCTTTATGTATCACCGGTTTTGCATCATTAACTCCATTCAGATTATGAGTCGTAGTCTTGTCCATTTTCATTATAACGTATGGCGAAAACATTTCAAGTATTACTTAAACATTGCATATTTTATAACAAATTAATATGTAACAAATACAATTTTCATGCATTTAATGAAAACAGCTGTAGTGTACACATAGAACAGAATTTACAACCAGAAAAATTGTTTGACATTGACATCTGATTGAAAGTTGTTTTGACGTAACTGATGACTGATGATACTCACTTACGATATGACGTGTCCAACTGATTACAGACTGATCTGAATGACTTATTTTGATGTCAGTTTGGTCAGTCTCTCAGTTTACTTGCGGCAAAGAGTTGTCATCATATTTTTTATTTCTAATTTTATTCAATAAATTTACTGAAAAATGAGTGTAAGTACGATATTATTATTGATATTTATGTAGTTGTAGTAGTGACCCGTAAGCATTAATTATATTTCAATACTTTTACAGTTGGAAATCGAGTCAATGGTACGGTATGCATCGCCTATTAACCCGGCGGTGTTTCCTCATCTAACTTTGCTGCTACTCGGCATCGGCATATTCTTCACAGCGTGGTTCTTCGTCTACGAAGTAACGAGCACCAAGTTGTCCCGAGATCTATTCAAAGAACTCCTCTTATCGTTGGTGGCTGCGTTATTCTCGGGATTCGGTATTTTATTCTTATTATTATGGGTAGGCATTTATGTTTGACGAATATAGTTAATTTTATAAGCTGTCTTGGCATTCCTGGTGGTGTGGTTGCTTCTGAGTGACCAAATGAGTTTTGTATATTTAAGAAATAAATTCTTTATTTAATATTTATGTAGATATTTTATTTACTTGTCAATACATTATAATATGGGCACATAAAATCCGCGTATTAAGTTTACTTATAGTGCATCAGTATTGGAAAGGCCTGTTCCTGAATTCTAACTATTGCAACAACTTGTTCAGACAGAATGTGATAATCGAATCTCAATATTATTTTGGTCAATTAGGTATAAGTCTGTCTCCAACCATTAAGATCTGTAAAACTGCAGTAGTGTACCCTACATAGCTTTTTTGATAATTTTGAATGGGCATATAATCTTGCGGGACACATGTGAAGCATGATGTCAGGTCAGTTAGCCCATCACAGTGGCTACAATGGCTTTTAGGACTGAATTTTATGAAGGCTGACCTGACATGGTACATTGGCACTACCATAATTTATGTATATGGTGCATTACTAACATTCCTTTCCTCCTTAATAAACTTTCTATATGTCTACATTCCATCATTAAAAGATAGTTATAAATATATTAAAGGTAAAGTTATTCAGCAAGGCAGACATAGTCATAACCCAGAAATGAGATTAACATGAAGGCTGTTGTACTTGCATTGTCTGTATATACTAGAATTCAGGCTTTATTACTGAAGAAATGTACAATACAAATCCTCGGAACGGTGAGATTATTCTGTGAAGACACTAAGAGACTTCTGCGCTATTGCAGAGCTTGGCTACTTTAGTAGTCTCGGCTCTACATGTACAGTAGGCCGAGAAACACCATAGTCATGGGCGATTTTAACAGCAAAATAGGAAAACAAAGACCAGGAGAGGAACTGATTATTGGAAAGTATGGAATAGGAGAAAGAAACGAAAATGGTCAAAGAGTCCTAAACATGGCTCAAGAAAATAATCTGGTTCTCCTAAATAGCTATTTCAAAAGAAAACCGTCAAAAAAATGGACTTGGAAATCACCAAATGGCCTTTATTGTAACGAAATAGATCACATAACTAGCAATCAATATAGGGCTTTTAAAGATGTCACAGTTATTAACCAATTCAATTTTTACACTAATCACAGAATGGTGAGAGCAACTTTATACCCCGAAGAAAAGAAAAAAAATAGAAAACATTATAGCCAACACCATTTCCTTTCACCGACATTAGAACAGGGCAATACTAAGAATACAAATAAAATACAAGAAATCTACGACCAAGAGATAAACTGTATGTATAACACTGTAGAATCAAAACCGAAAAGAGAAAAGAAAAACGTCATAAGTAATAAAACAAAAGAACTCATAGCAACAAGAAAAATATTAATCCAAAACAAGAAGAATCATAATACTTTAAAAGACATCACAAAAATAAGCAAAGAAATCAGTAGTAGTATAAAAAAGGATAAACAAATAAGAAAAATAGACTGTATTAAATATCATATTGCTAAGACAGGAGGAATTAGAAAAGCACTGAAAGAATTACAGTTATCAAAAACATGGATCTCGAAAATTAAAAATAATAAAAATAAGAACCAAACAACAAACAGAACCTGTATTTTAAATATAGCAACAAACTTCTACAGAAACCTCTACTCAAGTCAAGCCTACAATAAAAAAATCTGTCTAGATGTAGAAAATGAAGTAAACATCTTGCCTATTTTAGAAAGTGAAGTAGAATACGCTATTAATACGCTTAAAAATCAAAAAGCAGCGGGACCTGACAACATAAGAAATGAAGCTATAAAAATGACATTGTCTGAAACTTTACCAAAACTAACGAGCCTCTTCAACATCATTTTGGCGACAGAGTATATTCCTTCACAAAGGATGACAAGCAACATAATACTTATCCACAAAAAGGGAGATAAAGAAGACATAGCTAACTATCGTCCAATTAGCCTTATGTCCAATATCTATAAAGTCTTTGCCAAAATCATATTGAATCGTATTACGAAACAACTCGATGAACATCAACCAATCGAACAAGCAGGATTCAGGTCAGGTTTCTCCACTGTAGATCATATGCACACATTAAAACAAATAATTGAAAAATACAAAGAATACGGACTTCCTTTGTACCTTGCTTTCGTAGACTATAGTAGGGCGTTTGACTCTCTCGAACATAATGCTATATGGCAAGCCCTCAAGAACCAAGGAATAGAGAATAAATACATACGACTCATAAGGAACGTATATAAGAACAGCACAGCACGCGTCAAACTTGAATCACTAGGGGAAGTCTTTCCAATTAGCAGGGGCGTTAGACAGGGTGATCCTTTATCTCCCAAGATATTCACATGCGTTCTTGAAGAGGTCTTCAGAACGTTTGATTGGGACAATGCAGGTATTGAAATAGATGGAAAAAAACTCAATCATTTACGATTCGCTGATGATTTGGTACTCATGACAGATAGCCCAGAAACTCTACAAATGATGCTTGAAGAACTTATAAAAGTGAGTAAAGAAGTCGGGTTAACAATAAATAAGACAAAAACTAAAATAATGACCAACAAAAATGAAGTACCAATCAAATTAGAAAACGAACATATAGATTATGTAACATCATATATTTACCTTGGACAACTCATCTCAATAAAAGACCAAATGGAACAGGAAATAGAAAGAAGAGTTACAAGTGCATGGAAAAGATACTGGTCATTGAAAACTATAATGAAAAGCAAACAATACCCCATTAACTTAAAAAAGAAAGTTTTTAATACCTGTATCTTACCAATACTAACATACGGATGCCAAACATGGGCAATGACCAGGAAAAATATGCAAAAACTGGTAACATGCCAAAGGAGTATGGAGAGAAGCATGTTGGGTTATAACAGGAGAGATAGAAAGAGAGCGATGGACATAAGAGTTCTCACAGGTTGGGATGAAGTTACAACTAAAATAAAAAGGTTGAAGTGGAAATGGACAGGTCACACACTAAGGGGAGATATGAGATGGACGAAAACTGTAACTGAGTGGATTCCCCGTCATAAAACGAAACGAAAAAGAGGAAGACAGTACAAGAGATGGTCTGATGACCTTAGAAAGATTGCCGGCCCACTGTGGCTCCGATTGGCAAAAGATAGGAACACATGGAAAACGCTGGAGGAGGCCTTTGTGTCTAAAGGACACGTTGACTCAGAGACTGATGTGCAGAATTAGAAGTAACATAAAATGTATATATAAGTAACTAATATTTCTTCTATATTTTAAACTTGTAATCAAATATTATGATAGATTGTATTATTTTGTGTCAATTAATAAAGGCTTTGAATTTGAATTTGAATATATACTAGAATTCAGGCTTTATTACTGAAGAAATGTACAATACAAATCCTCGGAACGGTGAGATTATTCTGTGAAGACTCTAAGAGACTTCTGCGCTATTGGAGAGCTTGGCTACTTTAGTAGTCTCGGCTCTACATGTACAGTAGGCCAGATGAGAGATTGATTGTGGAAAATGGAACTTACATTACTATTACTTTACATTTACATTACTTACTCAAGATCTATTTTGTAGAATCAGTTTTTATTAAAACAAATTTATTCTAAAATCAGAAAATACTTATTCATTATTCTAACTAATTATGTATTTTACTATAACAAATTATGTATTTAATTTATTGTGTAGTTGCATTTAGGGGACTATCTTGCTTCGGTTTGGTCTTGCTTTTGAATGATTCATCGAGTAGCACCGTCTCATGCATACGTTGGGACGCTAACACTTCAATACGTTCGTGTAACTCTTGGTTCGTCATGACATAATGTCTGCAAAGTAATTGTAATTATATTCGTAATTGTAATGTAATTCCTATAAGTCGTAAATTCGACCATAATTTATGTAACGACTCAAGCAAGATAATATTAAAGACAAATTACTCAATTTGACCACAGACTCTACAAAATAGTTTATATGCGTGTGTATGTCAAATAATCTATAATATCTAATAATCTCAGGACAACACAGCACCATCTATACCCAAGTTAAGCTAGCTATAGCTTGTGACGGTAGGGAAAAAATATATAATGTAAAAACTTGACGTTCATAAGCGGCTAAAATGTGCTACATGAATAAATGATTTTTGAATTTTGTTATGGGTATTAGAAAACTGATACAAGTACATAGATGTATATTTTTTTCGATAAATACATACATATTATACATAATAAAAACCCAGACCGATACAAACAATCATACTCATGAATACAAATGTTTGTGGAGTGCGAAGATCGAACCCGCGACCATCGGAATTAAGGCGGTGTGCTAGACCACCGAGACCGTCAAAAACATACATTTAGTGTGTATAATGTATTTTAATGCATAATTAAAAAAAATGCATTCTCAACTATCTATCTATACCTACATACCTACATATAAATAAAAGTGGACGGTCTGTTTGTAATATTTAAATAACCGTTTTTTACTACATGCATATGAACATAAATACGCCAAAATAACATTTTTTACAATTTCTGTTTGTCTGTCTGTTTGTTCCGGCTAATGTCTGAAATGGCTGGACCGATTTTGACGGGATTTTTTTGCCAGGTAGCTAATGTAAAAAGGAGTAACTTAGGCTATTTGTATTTTAAAAAGATCTTTTATTTTAGAAAAATAAAGTTAAATTCCACGCGGATGAAGTCGCGTATACAGCTAGTACAATAAATGTGCCAAAATTCATGTTTCCGCAATTTTTGTAAATAGGGGTACAACGTTTTTGCTTCACGTATTAATAAATAGAAAACCCTGAATATATAATCACAATTAACGAAAGAAACTCCGCGCACTAGTAAGAGCATCGGAGGATCTGAGCCATTAATGAATACGAAAATAAAGATATTTTATAGGCAAAATTAAAGTATTTGATAGGCAAAAATAGAGATATTTGATAGGCAAAATAAAGATATTTGTATTTGTACAATTCCTGACCTCAATTCTTGACGGCTTCAACTTCTCTATTCTGTTTTTGTAAGTTTCTATCTGTTCATAGTACTCCCATAGTACTCCAAGGTGATGATCAAACTAAAAATAACCTGATTAGGCTCATCACTTGCCACGTTGAATTCCAGCATTTCGTTAAATAATTCGCCGACTATACTGAGCTATGACCATATGAAATCTTATGTTCAACTTCATTACAACGTTGGTAGTTGACAATACACTGGCCTCATCTTATTAATATTATAAATGCGAAAGTTTGTGAGTATGGATGGATGTTTTTTACTGTCACGCAAAAACTATTGAACGGATTTGAATGAAACTTTACAATTTTAGCTTATGCATTAGAATAACATATAGGCTATAATTTATAAATATAAACTATTGTCCCTTGTGAGAAATATATATAAATGTCAAGTAAGTGTGATACAGACGAAGTTGCGTGGGTTAGCTAGTTTATTTATTTATTCAATTAATACAATGTAACTTACAGCTAATTCCCAACACGTTTATATTTTAAAACTATTATACTTAACTATATATAGACAAGTACGTTTTTATTTTATTTATTATAGAAGGCAAGGCTTCTGTGTTCACGTCAGCATCTTGGACCTTACCCAAAAATATGTTTAATAGATGCAATGCTCGAACTGTGGGACAATTACTAGCGTGGCTTGTGCGTAGTTTGTAATAACAAAAGGTTATTATAATAAGGATATACCGAAAGTCGGCTGCGTCTAGTCTGTACACCTGCGTGATCTCGATGGCCACCACTGACGCAACCCTCTTGCTGTCCTTCATCAGAAGTGCCACCTCGCCGAAGTGCGCTCCGTCTTCCAAATGACATATCTAAATACGAAAAAGTGCTAGCAATGTACCCTGCCAGGTTGACCTCTATCGGTTCCGCCGCGGTTCCCCCTGGATACCATCTTTATAAATTTCTGGTGAATTTGTCATGATGGACAAATTGACCTGACATCATATTCATCGCTTCATGTTCCACCGCAGTCCTGAATTTATAAATAGGCCATATACGCGGCGGCCTAGGGGCGGCAGATTTAAGAGGGAGGACGGTCACTCGATTTCAGAGGATAAAAGTCAAACACGTGGCAAGACTCGTACAAATCGGACATTAGCTGTTGCAGCCCCCCTGCAGATTCTATGCTACGAAGCACAGGCCATCGGCGTACATCAACTCAGTGATCACGGCATATGACACTTTGGTAAGGTCTTTTAGTCTGGCGAGATTAAAAATATTGCCGTCCGTACGAAAACGGATGCTATAGGTGTCCACCTATAGAAGTCGTTTGTGAGATCTCTTGGACTACGACTGAAAAATACGTGAACAGAACAGAACAGACCAGAACGTGAACAGGTGCTAGAACGCACATAATATACTAGGTATATGAATGGATAATATTAAATTACATGTTATAATAGTAATAATTTTATTATGTTTGCGTGCCCTAACAGGGTTTATATTGATCTAAATACCAATTGTGAACATTTGACTGTAAATATCATGGAATGCAATAAATATTGAGTAATGACCTCGACGCCCTTCAACGAGTAGACAGCAACGGTGCCGTTCGCTATGAAGTACATGCAGTCTCCGATGTCACCAGCGCGTACCACCAGGTCGTCTGGTAGGTACACCTCAGGCCGAAGACAGCCCAGCACTGTCCCTACCACGGTAGCAGAGAGTCCGTCAAACAACGCCGCCTTGTTCACCAGCTTGTAACAAGTGTTCATGGTAACCTCGTTGCGAAGTTGTTCTGCAGTAAAGGTAAATAGTCCAGTAAAATTTTAAATTAAACATGATGTGGACAGTTTTGACGCAATATATATTGCACCAAAAATACACAAAGCAATATATATAGAAATAAGTCCGCAAATACGTGAATAACAATATTCAAAAAGAAATTTTGATTTAAGTTGACGGGAACGGAAAGAAAAAATTAAAAAAAGGGGTTGAAAAACGCTTTTTTCAAAATAACTCAATAACGGTAAGAAATATGAAAAAATAGTTTAAATAAAACTTGTAGAGAAAAAAATACTGCACAAAACAGGACCTCTTCATTTTTTCATTATCTGCTGTCGTTTGGCCACAAAAATTAAAACTAATTTGGCTCGTTGTCAACTGAAAAATTAGTAAAAAGTAAGTAAAAGCCCTGTATAATACAGAACGCGCATCACACAGATAAGCACAAATAATATTACACATATTTCTCCTTTTACAAATCGTTCAGCTGTTAGTTTTAGTTAATTATTTTTATATTTTTTGTGGCTAAATAACAGGAGATACTGAAAAAATGAAGAGGACTTGTTTTGTGCAGTATTTTTTTTTCTACAACTTTTATTTAAAATATTTTTTCACATTTCTTACTGTTATCGAGTTATTTAAAAAAAGGCGTTTTTAACCCTTTTTTTATTTTTTTCATCCCTTTCCCGTTAACTTGAATCAAAATTTGTTTCTGAATATTATTATTTACGTATTTGCGGACTTATTTCTAATTATATTGCGCTAACAGTGGTCAGATCATGAATAATTTAAAATTTTACTAGACTAAAAGTTTTGCAGGATTTCTATTTGCATTCACAGTCTTTGTATAAATTACAAGCTGTGCCCGTGACTTCGTTCGCGTGTTATACTGACCTTGACCAAATAAAGAAAAAATATTCAGTATTATTCAGTAATCTAACCCAAAAAGAAATTAATTACATCGTTCTAGCTTGATAAATAACGGTTTTCCATACAATTTTCAGCTCCTATTTTATTTACCCCCTTAAGGGTAACATTTTTAGAAACTATGAATATCATATTTATTTCTATATAATCATGAACCTAAAAAATAAGCTACAAGCTTCTAGTTTTAAAAATCACGATACTTCTATACACGACATATACATAATAACTGAAATAAATAAATAGATATATTATTTTTCAATACATACATAATGAATATAGGAAACGCCCAGACCGATAATCATAAATACAAATGTTTGTACCGAACGAGGAATCGAACCCGCGATACCATCGAGGCCGTCGATGAGTACTTGCCTGACAGATAGTCAAGAGCTGCGTCTTCTTTGAAATATTTCTCTTGAAAGTTGTAGTTATAGAATGTGATTACTCGTTTTTTCAGTGACGGTGGAAACTGTTTGTGTCTCATATACTCCTAAAAAAATATATATTTAAAGTTTTTTTTTTTATAAATATATTTAAAGTTGAATTAGTATTTTACTATTAAACTAGAGGAATTATACAAATATATATATATATATATATATATATATATATATATATATACTGGCCAAGCCCGCGACTTTGTTCGTGTGTATCACTGTAGTGATCTTGACCAAATAAAGAAAAATATACAACTATCTAACTACACTAATTAAAAGGTAAAGAAAGCTTAAAAATTGCCGAATTTCCATACAAACTTTCATCCCTTATTTTATTTTATCCCCTTAACATTATTTTTTTATGGATGATAACGGAATGTTGCCCCCGCCTGCTGTTTACGCTGGCGGGGCACCAGTGGAGGATGATAAGATGAACAAGAGGTCACGTCAGTTAGCCCATCGTGACAAATTCACCAAGAATTTATCACGATGGTTTCCAAGGGGAACCGCGTGGAGGTCAACCTGTCATGGTACATGGCTGGCAATGGGGTCATGAGTCCACATTACTAACAATCCTCTTCCCCCCTAGGGTAACATTATTATTATTACACGGTGTACACCGGTACTTCGTGTGGGCACACAGACACCTCTGGGCCTGTTACACTGGGTCGCTGCCGAGCCGGACAAGGCAAACAGCGAGACCTAGGCTCTTTAACACCAATCTTTCATTTGGATAGCAATCCCTGTTCAAGAATAAAAAGGTAGAATTTGCTTGCTACCTTTATAAATAAATTATAAATAAATATTAAAACTATCTCTTCAAGTAAAAAAATGTATGAATATACATTACCAAATAACTTCACTGTAAATAAACATAAACGTACCTATAATCGAATTGCGAATTTCTTGTGTAAAAAACTTGGTTTGTACTTGCTCTATCTTGGTGATAAGGATTTTTATAAAAACATTACTTACTTCTACTTGATTCATTAGTTCGTGATAGCGTATTGTTGAGTTGAATTTGGTAAAGTAGACTTTAATAAGAAACACTGAAAAAAAATTACTAAGAAACATTAGAAAGAAGTTGTATAAAGTAGAATGTATGGATTTGACTCCTTTCCTTTAGGGAGTTGGCCTTTAACTGGTCCATAAGTCCTTGCGCGGGTTTGGAGAGCCATTTGCACCGACCCCTATCGTCCGGTGAAGCTGTAAAGGCCAACAGCATTAGAGTAATCCGAAAAAAAAAGGATTTGACTCACTTAACTCTGTTGTTAGGTGATTGCATTACAAGTTGTGTCTCGGTTTGAAGTGCCGGGTGTAATGTGCACCCTCTAATATGGCAATGATGGCTGGTTCATCCGTCATACTCGTGAAAGGTTGCTGCTTTGGTTGGTTGGTTGGTTGATCTTTGAGTAAACTCCACTCACTTCCTTGCTATATTCTATAGCCTTATTTTCTTTAATATATTCTATTTATTCCTATATGTAGGCACAGATAAGATTACATAATATAGGCATTAATTTAAATACTGACCCGGCAAAGGTTATTTTGCCGTATAAATTAATATCTTTATTAAAAATAGGGGTTTATGCTAGAAGGGTGAAAATTTAGGGTAGGATATATTTTTAATGCCAAATCATGAAAAAAAATTAACCAAAAGAAAATGGTTTTCGGGTGGACTACACTTAGGGGTTTTTTAAAAATTATTTAGTTAATTACCAAGTTTAAGAGCTACCAAGTATACGTAAAAGATTCATCAAAATCGGTTTTGGAGAAGTATGGCAACTAAGAGTATCTAAATGAATTAGTGCTAATTGGTGGTTTGTATTCACACACTTAAAAAATGTAAAGAAATAATAAAATTATTTAAAAGAGCAACACGCAAGTTTCTTGCTCGTTCTTCTTGTGATGACACAGCTTTCCGAATGAGCGGTAGATTAAAAAAATGTAGGTAATGACTATTCAAAGTGCTTCAATGTAAGTTTATTTGAATAAATTCTTTTCTATTCTATTCTATTCTAACAATGTGATATGAGAATTTTATATATTAGAATATGTATAGATGAATATATAAAACTAAATTACCTCCAGCATATACTGTATACAAAGCAGCATAAAGGATTATCAAAGAGTTTACAATCACCTCGTCAGCTTCGTAGACGCGGTACATGGAGAAAGCCGTCCCTGTTATGACAATATTTATTTATTTAAAACTTTATTCACCAATAAATTATGGTACAATAGCCGGATTTGATGCTATAGGCATTCTCTACTAGTCATCCTTCGGGAAGTGCAAATATACTCGATTGTGGCTTAACATTGAATATATAAACTGAAACTAAACTATTATAGAATAGAATACACTTTAATAATATAACATATACATACACAACATAAATACAATCCTATATATACACATATGTATTTTGACACAATATTTTATAGATTTTTATAGTATATTATTAGTTCTACCATGGTATGGACATGTAATGCGTAGGAATGAGGATAATATTTTAAGAAAGGTGTTACATATGAATTTGGATGGTCATAAGAGCAGAGGAAGGCCGAAAAAGAGATGGATGGACTGTGTGAAAGATGATATGGTAAGAAAGGAAGTAAATAACGCGATGACTGCGAACAAGGATGAATGGAAGAGAAAAACATATTACGCCGACCCCAAATAAATGGGATAAGGAAGAAGCAGATGATTATTATTAGTTCATAAATAAGCCACATAACTTTAAATAATAATGATAAAATGTAATAACTACATAGCGTAATTGAAAATAATATCAGGCTTCGATCGATATAAAAGGGATTCAAGTTCGAAACCATGCATATAAATTAAAATTAAGTAAATAGATAGTTTAATTTTTTCGCACAAAAAAAAAACTCACCAAAAAATGCCGAAAAATATATAAAAATGCCTTTTTGATATCGTACACTAAGTGGGATATCGGTCAGGTTAGCATTGTTCATTTTTAGAAATGTGAGATAGCCTTGCGGTAGTACACCATGCCCTGCATATAAAAATAAAGTATTTACTCTCTTTTTCTTTTTACCTTTTTCTTTTTATTCCATAATAAAATAGTATAGAGACACGCTTTCTCTTTTTGAATTTATAATAGTATTTTTTCTGTAATTGGAATGGTAAACGAGCTGTCGGCTCACCTGATGGTAAGTGTTTACCATCGCCCTCAACACAAGCAAGTGCGTTGTTGGCCTTTTAAGAAGGATAAATATTTTGTCTATGTTAAAAAAATATACTAACAGTAATAACAGACGACCGGACAGATATAAAGGAGACAGCTACACAAGTGTGCTGATAGTAAGAATATCACCATGTGACGTAGTGATCCTTGCCAGATGTAGGAACTCGTAAATACCTGATGAAAGAACAACATGTGCAGTCCTTTTTGTTTCTAGGTATAAATACAATAATAACACTGAAAAACTAACACAGCGCCATCTAGTCCCAACGTAAGCAGAGCTTGCATTATGGGTACTAGACAACTGATATAAATACTTTTTTTTTATACATACATAATATACATAGAGAACATGCAAACTCATGAATACAAATAAATAAAATCAAAATAGAACCCGCAATAGTTATTGATATACCTGGATCTATAATAGAATAATGTACTTACTTTGACACAAGTCCGTAGGTCATCTAAAATGGTCCAAATTCGGAGGATTTTAAGAAGGGGCATGCAATGAGCCATCAGTATATACCTACAGTTGCGTATTTGTTGGTGCAGTAAAATGTAAGCAATAGGCAAGCTTGACATCAAATCCACTACACACCAGCGACGTATATATCGCCTGAAATTGATTTCATTAACTGTTTTTAAGTTTATAGTAAGACTAGCTACTCGCTACGGCTTCACACGGATGTACATGTATCATTACATAGTATAAAACAAAGCCGCTGTCGTTGTCTGTCCCTATGTGATTACGCAACGGATTTTGAAGCGGTTTTCTTTAATAGATAGAGTGATTCTAGAGGAAAGTTTATACATATAATACATGTACAGCTGGGCGAAACCGGGGCGACTAGCTAGTTATATATATAAACCTTCCTCTTGAATCACTGTATCTATTAAAAAAACTGCTTCAAAATCCGTTGCGTAGTTTTAAAGATTTAAGCATACATAGAGACAGACAGCGACAGCGATGTATGTTAGACTCCATTCTCCGCAATTAGCCTCACATTCGGGCCGTTGTGCGTGTAAAGGCACAACGGCCCGAATGTGAGGCTAATAGCGACAGCGACAGCGATATTGATTAATACTATGTAATGATAATGATAAAGTCATTAAAGTTAATTAACTGCCGAGGTTTTATCGTGAGACTACAGCAAGGGGTTTAAGAAGGGTTGTATTAAGGTTACGCACGTCACCACTAGTGTTTCAGACGTTCATAGGTTACGGTACTGGTTTACCATCAGATGGGCCATATACCTGTTTGTTAACGTTGTAGTATAAAAAAATGGAGGGCATTATGAAACATGGTGTCCAGCGATGAGCGAATTTGGTCAAACCATATTGTGGGGCTACGCCCTCTAGGACGATTCCTATCCACCCTAGTCACCGTGGCTAAAACTTTCATTCTTTATACATGTGTACACACTAAAAATACCTACATAGCTCAGATATATAAATTTCTTTCAGTCTCAACTGTTTTGAACTTTATGTTTTTACCTTTTAGGATAATAATCACAAAGCTACGATTGAAAATTCATACCAAGCAACATTGCTCCTGGACATTTGTACATCACATCCAGGTTCCTCATGATATCCGGTTTGTAGTTTAGCGATTATATCAAACAGGCACGCTGTATGAAAGCACAGAAGGACTTTGTCAGCTGTTTGTATTTTAGATTGACAAGGCAGCGGTTCCAGGATATAACACAATCGTAGACTGGATAAAATTATGTGAGTCAAATTTATAAAAATCATACAGCTGTTCCATATCAAGCTGAAAAGAGTTCCAGTTCATAATAATAACTCTTACAAAAAGCCGTCATTCTTAACACATGCCGTATTGTAATAATAATACTAATAATAATAATCTTTATTAAATTCAGAAGGATTGTTACAATATTATTTATACAATAGGTACACATTCCAGACAATATCAATCCTTTCAGTATTTATGTGTAGTCCTGGCTTCTGAACTAGCATTAGCCATTAGTATGACAGAAGCCAGTTCCTTCCCAATACATGTACTTTTATTAATAAAAAGAAATTTCCTTACAACACGTGATCGCGTTTACCAAAACCGAATTTGCACAATCCAAACCTTTGTATTCATTATTATTTATTTGTTTATTCACATAATCAAAAGAAGCTGCCGCTAATCAAGAAATTGCGCAGCCGAGGGTTCTCTTAGTATTTGATTTGATAGGCCACACTCTGAGGAATATACAAGTACCTACATTAACATATTACTTACTAACTGGAACCGCGGTTTCACCTGCATAAAATTTGTAGCCAATGTGTTATACTGATGTAGCAATAAGCTGTAGGTATTACTGTAAAGTTTCATTAAAATCCGTTCAGTAGTTCTTGCGTGGAAGAGTAACATATACTCATCCATCCACACTCACAAATTTTCACGTATATAATATTAGTGATATATAAAACAAACCAAAAGAGACTGAATGGATGTATCAAGCATGTTCCTTCTTCATATAGCTGCCTCTGACGATTGGCCACCACGGATGGGTAGCTACGAAAATGCTCATACACTTCGGGGTGACGATCAGACACAAGCAACAGTTTCCTGACGTTTCGGCATAATATCAGCCATTTCGCCTTCTTGGGCAACATACTATCGGGACCTGCGTGTTATGTTATTAAAATAAGTATTTATATATAGTCATTTGCGTGGGTACCTCTGTCACACCTATTTCAGTCTAAATGGGTCTTCAACCAAAATACCTCTTACAAAGTTTCCACCTCAAAACCAATCAGCTTGTTTTGTAAGATCGGTTCCGGTTGAAAGACGTTTTTTATAGCATGCGTCTCACCTGATGGTTAGTGATTACTGCCGTCCATGGGGTGCTCATGGGCGGCGGTAATCGCGGGCAACACCAGGGGAATAGCAAGTGCCTTGGACGGCCTTTTAAAAATAAATCAATGTATAATATGTATGTCTTTAAAAAATATATATATGTATTTGTATCAGTTATTTAGTACACATAACACAAGCTTTAGCTAGCTTAACTTACATAGGTCTAAATGGCGCCGGTGAATTGTCCTGAGATTATTGTTATTATTATTAGCTTAGCTTTGTTATAGCCAAAAACTAGTGATGTTACGGAGCTCCGTAACCGTAACCGAAACTGTCGGATATCCGATATGAAAAAATATCCATAACCGTAACCGAATCCGAAATAAAAGTGTCGGATAATATAGGATAGGAGCGGAGCCTAATTAAGACACATTATGTAACCATTTTATTAGCTATTTGTATTTTACTTTTGACATTCCTTAAAAAATTGATATTCATAACCGAAATTATCCGGAACTAACGGATAATCCGAAATAATTTCATATCCGCATCCGTAACCGTATCCGGTATAATAATCGTTCCTATATCCAAACATATCCGTATCCGAAATTTCATATCTATAACATCCCTGCCAAAAACTGTCATTAAAGTACTTTCTTACCACGTTATATTTATTTTTATCGCTACATACATTCACGAAAATTGCATTTATATTTACATACATTTTTATACCTACTTATAAAATGGTCTTAATCGTAACGTTTTATTTTCTTTTGTTATTTTTACTCTCTTGTGTTTTGGCCCCACTAAAAATCAGCGCTGTGGTGGTAGCGGACATTCATAAATGTTTATACACTTATCTTTGGACACTGAAACTAATTTATCACCACTAGCGTTGAATTGGAGACACCACACAGTGTCTGTATGTTCATGGAACTCGTTGAGGACCTTCAGGCCGTCCAGTTGAGCGACACGGACGCGGCCGTCGGCGGCACCGGTGGCTGCGCGTGTACCGTCGGTATAATTATACTACAGTGTAAATACTGAGTGGGAGTCACATTCAGCGTTACTAGTATGTTTTAGCTTTTAAGTAACGTAGTAAATAAGAATATTGTAATGCTGAATAAATGTCTTTATTATTATTATTAGTAATGAAAAACAATAGTGGACGAATACGTCTGCCCATAAAATATTTTATTCACCATCTACCCGCTGCTCTTCAGTTGACCCGTGATCATGGCGGTTGAAACACTGCCGAAATATCGTAACTTAATAAAAATAAATAAATAGTGGTAAGATGCCCTGTTTTTTTCTAATTGTACGCATAAATTATGAGGGCGTCAAATTGAAAACAGTATATCTCAAAGTCCATTCTCTTACTAATATTATAAACGCGAAAGTTTGTGAATATGGATGGTTGTTTGTTACTCTTTCACGCAAAAACTATTGACCGGATTTTAACGAAACTGTACAGTAATATTAGTATTATATAAAATTGTTCTATTAGTTTTATATATTGTGAAATTTATAATATTTGATTTGTACTTTTAAATTAATCCTTATTCTGTTTTATTTTCTTTTGCTAATTCACTGAAAACCTGTTATTGGCTTTCTCTAGATATGTACTTTTGATTAATGTATTAGATTGTAAGCTGTTGGTTTTCTAATAAATAAATAAATATAGCTTATACAGCAAAATAACATATAGGCTATAATTTAAAAGGATATTATGTAAATTGGGCGAAGTATAATGATAAATGTCAAGTAAGTGTAATGCAGACGAAGTTGCGCGCTTCAGCTAGTTTTATATAAAAATATCTTGTTGTATAGAGAGCTAAACTATTAAATCTAAAACTGTCTTAATTTATATGTAGGAAGATTTTACCGAGGTCCAAAGTGCATTTGTGCTTCGTTGATGGCATTGATGCGGTAGTTTATATCCTCTTCATTAATGAAATTAGCTATGGTTTTTCTTCAATAATGTATTCATTCATATATACTTAGTTGTCAAGTCTAAAGTCAGAAGACTGAAGATCTTTTTTAATTCGCTAAAATGGCTTTTAAATGCTCACGCTTGCTTGTTAGTGTTGCAAATATTAGGTAGGAACTTTATGTGCGCGGTTTCTGAACGTAGGGTTCGAGAAATCGCGTGCCCCTCGGAAAGAAAACCTGTCTACCAAGTCTTTTGTTACTATACTGATTGTTGTGAAGCCTCTTGTTGTGGTAAATTACTGAACGCAACAAACATCTTTACAAATAAAACAATTATTAATATTTATTATTATATATTATAAAACTTTTTCTTAAAATAAAATATATACACTATTTACATATACATACATAACTATGTACTTACAAATATATTGTTAACAGTATTACATTAGCAGACTTATGTAAATATTTATTGTAAAACTACCTAATTGTTTTTATTTTTCGGAATTCACAAAGCGAAAACAGTCATCCAATTTTGATTAAATTTTGATATATGTATTTGTACATGGGCAAAGAGTGCAGTTTAAAATGTTCTTATGTTTATTTTAACGAATTATCTAAACAATCAATATACAACATGTATAAAACATGTAAAAATAATGACAATAGTACAATTTAAGAGCAAATTAAAATTCATAAAATAATAACTATTTTAATAATTAAAAAATAAATTATTACTCCGCAATAGGCAGAGTTCTTAACAGATGACTATTACATAAACATTGATTATTGTAATTTTAATAATATAGCGATTTGTACTTTTGTTAGCTTGTAACGAATAAACTCAAAAACTTCGTCGTTCAAAAATTGTTTCACCAGTAGAAATAGGCAATATCCCTAGGCATTTATTACTAGAAAAAAATTAGGAATCCCTACTAAAACTTTAATAATTTAACTGTGTGTCTGTATCTGTAAAAAATTAAGCATCAAATATTAAACTAAGTGCAGACGGGACCAGCCGGCAGTATTTATTAGACTAACAAGTGTATAATACAATAAAAATAACATGTAATAAAATTCACTAATATAAAATATGAGTAGTGTCTACAATTAGTTCCTATAATGCTGAATCCGAGAATGTCTTGTAACGTAATGTCAGTCAGTGAGTAAGTCCCATTGACTGACAGTACGTTACAAATCTACTGTTGTCAGTGAACTCGGAGTTGAACAGGATGATATATCCGAAGTTGTAAGCGAAATCGCTGCTGTACAAGCTGGCATGACATCCGGACTTACAGTCCATAGTTGTAACAAACTCGTCGCTGTACAGATTGTTGATAAATCCAAACTCACTGTGTAAGTTGTGAGTGAATTCGAAATTGTACAGGTAGTTATTCTCTATACTTATTGTCCAAAGTTGTCAGTGAATTGCGTGCTGAATGGGCTAGTATTAAACCCGAAGTTATTACTGTGGTTGGCCACGGTATCTCTTGACTGAAAGAAATAAATATTAAAATTTTATTTACATAATATGACTCTTCTGGGGCAGCGTCCGGAATAGAAATATTGTATTAGCCTTTACGCCGTAATGGCAGATATTTTCCTTTTTATATACTACTAGATTTACAGTTTACCTGATGAACAGTGTTATCACTTTCCTTGCTTGCCTTTGTATTTATAGATTAATTTCATTGCAATATTACTTCCCGCATAGTAATGCAGGCTCCAGATTTCTCTTCCTAAAACGCAACAACAGATCCTAACCCTAATTGATTTTAAAACGGCTGATCAGGGTTCATCGGATTAGTCTTGGATGTAACTAGAGTGTCTTAACGTATATTATTATCACTACATAGTATAAAATAAAGTCGCTGTCGCTGTCTGTCCGTACCTATGTATGCCAAACTCTTTAAAACTGCGCGGATTTTGACGCGGTTTTTTCAATAGATAGAGTGATTCAAGAGGAATATGTATAATACATGTATATCCGGGCGAAGCCGGGGCGAGTAGCTAGTTATTATTATATACGGTTATCTGATATTGATTGATATATATAAGACATTGCTTGCTTGCGATAAGACCGACTTTTGTACATATATGTAATATCTTTAATCAATATAATTTTTGTGTAAAATTTTTGGTACAATAAAGAGTTTATAAATAAAAAGAACGTTACTCACAATCACGGAAATAGCAGTTCAATTAATTTGAATGAAATTTGACGCATAGTACAGAGAGCTATTTCTATATCCAGTTTCTTAAGTAAATGAGAGCTAAGTTGTAGTAGAAGCTAGAACAAATATAGTTTTGGAATTCCCACCTCCTTTCTATCACCTACTACAAGGCGCAGAGACACTCTAGAATCCATATACTGTAGACATACCTGCTGCTCGTACCAACCACTTTGCATCAGGGGGAAGGGATTGTTAGTAATATAGACTAATGACTGCATTCGTTTCCAGGGAGATTAGTGTGTAAGTAAATCTGACATGGTATATAGCGAGATGTGACCATGTTAGGACTTCCACGCGGTTTCACCTGGAAACGATCGTAGTAAATTCCCGATGAATTTGACACAATCACAACAATGACCTGACTTCATTTTCTTCTTATTAGTCTCCACTGGAGCCGTGTCAGCGGTGCTGAAAACTTATTTACAGGCTAATGTTATGTTAAAAAAAAATTACCGGTTCCACAGGCTCGACAGGTGATGCCGCGGTTGGCGGGGGTTCGTAGTTAAACTCCATCATATCTTCAATGCCGATCAGATCTGATGAATCCGACGCATCGCTGTTCACAAGAAAATAATTATAACTATTTATATTTATTTATTTGTTTGTTTGCAGAATACAGTGTTACAACTAGGCCCTACAATATGAATATTCGTCTAAGGTATTCAGCTTGCATACAAGCGTTAAAAAATTTTGAATACATTATTTTTAAGAATTTAATTTTTTAAACATTTCTAATAATTAAATTAAATTGTTTGTATATTAAAATATGTCATCAGATAATTATCTTACATGTCATAAAATTCGTTAATGCTATATAAACATTGAAAGTTATCCTATAATTTCACTACCTGATCTGCACCCACAATCGAAACACTTAAAAGTAAAGGAAGTTGTTTAGCGACTGAAATATGTGATACCGAGGTATCCAGTCTACATTTTATAATCTACCTCTGTTATCCAATATCTTATTAATATTATAAATGCAAAGTTTGTAAGTACGGATGTTTATTACTCTTTCACACAAAAACTACTGAACGGATTTTGATAATACTTTGCAGTAATATAGCTTGTGCATTAGAATAACACAGGCTATATTTTATATTGAATTTTAACGCGGATGAAACGGCGGGATACTATTATATAAATTGTCCAAGGATATTATTATTCTTACTAATATTATATTATTATTGTTACGAATTGAAAATCTTTTCCGTTTGATATTGAGCAGCTGTATTATTTCGATAAATTTAGCTCACATCATTTTATCTTGTTTATGATCTAAAGCAAGCTGCTTGGCGGCTGAAATAGTGAACATTTTACCTCAGGGAATCAAAGTGTGGTGCTTTAATGGTCTCGTTCCAGATGGGGTTGGAGCCCTCGACTGCGTGTTTGTTGGTGCCGGGCGCCATGGCGGCCCGGTTAAGCCCCGAATCCAAGGAACCATACTTCGTCATGGACAACGCATGTAGTCGACGGTTCAAACTAAAAAAAAAAACAGAAGGGTTTTTTTACATTCATAATTATTAATTTTATTATAGCTTAAGAGCGTCGTGATGTACTGGTTAACCACGTCGCATTACACGTAAGAGACCGAGAGTTCTATGCTGGAGACGACAAAAACTTTTAACGCTTAAGGTAAATATATGTTAGGGCTCACATGGATATTTTCGAAAAATCTGATATTTTATATTAAAAGAAGGTAGTTTCATTATTACTCGGTATCGTTGGTTGGTATATCTTACATATAGAAATCAAATCTAAAAAATAATACAAGAGATGGCGGTGTGGTCGCCTCCTGCCACTTCTTCAGCGTCTATTATTAGTCCACTGCTGAACGTATATCTCTTGCTTAAATTGCATGAATCCCGTTTACTCCTTATGCTATTTTTTATTTATTTATTTAATTCAGGCTCCTAATGGCTCATATTATAAATACCTTACAGACTAACATACATATGAATAATATAATTAATAGAAAATAAAATATAAATTGTCTGTGTGATCACGGCATTGATGATGGTAATCTGCCACGGTAGCGCTGATAGACCACACCCTTCGGCCAGTCGTCCTCTTTTATGAAAGTGAGCAGCATGTTAGTGGAAACGGGGACACATACGCCTTCAAACTCGATTATATAACAATAATGACTTACGCTTTCGTCCTAATTATGTATGTGAGAAGCAGCACCACGAACATGAATACGAGGAGTCCGGACAACGCGGCCAGCACATATATGATGGTCAGGTTGCTATCAGTGCCGGGCCTAGGGCTGTCTTCAGTCACAAAGTCCTGCAGTACCAGCAACTCGGTGCTGAGAGTCGTCTGGATAGACCGCAGCAGCATCGTGTCACTGCGTAGTCTGTAAAAGATTTTTTATTGTTAAAGTCTGACCCGCTCAAAGTCGCCTGCATCACACTTACTTGACACATATCATTATAATTCCTAATTGCCTAATTGACATGATATCCTTTTAAATTATAGCCTATGTATTATTCCGATGTATAAGCTACATTACGGTAAAGTTTTATAAAAATCCAATCAGTAGTTTGTGAAAGAGTAATAAACATCCATCTATCAATACTACATATATTATAAATTTTACGTTTATAATATAGTAGCTATATAGACTAGCTGAACCTCGCAATTTCATTTGCTTTACATTTTCTCCGCTTTTGCAACAGTTTCTTTATTTTCATTAGTCGTAGCGTGATATTATTTTATTAATATTATAAACGTGAAAGTTTGTGAGTACAGGTGTATACTAAAACTACTGAACAGATTTTGATGGAGTAACTGTCTGCCAGCGTCAGTGTTACTGCCTCTTACAAAATTGGCTCTCTTAAGTCAAGAGGGAATAGGCTTTATTTGAGCTTGCGTGTCTCGTCTCGTCAACTCATCATCACATAACATTTGGACGGATTTTGATCGCCATCAAAATTATTACTTAACTAGCTGACTGCGTTCCGCCTCAGCAATAAATAGTGTGTCAACCAATTTTTTTTTTAAGTTTAGTTAAATTTCTGAATGCACCCTATTTGACAAGTATCAGCAGTTTATATGAGAAAATAAAATTGTTAGTTTTACTATTTTGTATTCAATTCCCTCATAATTTCTCACCGTTTAAATCTTCCCTGGACTTCCACGAATATTTCAATATTAAAATTAGGCAAATCGGTTTCGTAATCGGCAGCCGTTTTCGAGTTTTAGCGAGACTAACGAACAACAATTAGAATAGAATAGAATAGAATAGAATAACATTTATTACATAATAATACAAATAAATTCATTTATATATATATAGATGTAAGGTGAGATTGCAGTCACCTTCAAAGGTCATTGGGCAAAATCTGACCCAGTTAACAAAAGCTTACCTACAAAGTCAAATTGAGTGAAATTCTTAAGCAACATTAATTTTATATAGTTTTTTTTAAACCTTGGGAATAAAAATTTAATGATAAATCGGTATTCAGTGAGCATTTTTAAAATAATTAATGCAACCTTGCAACATATATTCGTACTTTGATTATATCGAAGAGAACGTAAAAACTGCTGTAGTTATTTATTTACCTTTACTTTATTTTTTAAATGCTTGGTACTAATAAAAACCTATAAAAATGTCGGAAAACTTATTATAATGAACCTTAATGTATAATTTATCTTGTTCATATTTTGGTTTGAATCCCATCATCTGCATTAGTGCGACATGTATATCCGTAAACTAGAGATGTTTATCTGCCTACTATATTTTTTTCAGTAGGCCGTGGTTATAGTTTTCATACTAAGGTAATAACCTTTTCGCGCTCAAACTTTGTGACATAAATACTCATTAGACTGATGATCTTACTGCTAGTAATCTACCATGTCAGGTTAACCTCCACGCGGTTCCCCCTGGAAACCATAGTGATAAATCTTTGGCAAATGCGGATTCCTGGTATGTAAATATCACTGAAGAACAATTAAATACTTGAGCGACTCCAAAACATGTCTATACGACTCATATTTGGTCTCCGTAAGTATGACCATATTTCCAATTTTCTCGCTACTTCTCGTCTTCGCAGGAATTTTCATATACTATCCCTTCTTTACATTACTTACTAACCATTCTTTTCCATCCCTCTACTCCAGAATATCTAAAGACGAATTTTTTATTTCACACAAAATCCCCTGGTGCTGCTTTGCGCAGTACCAGAAGCCTTTGTCTGACGATCCCTGCTCACTCCTCCACGTATTATTCCAACTCTTTCACTGTCCAAGCCATTCGCCTTTGGAACTCTCTACCACTCTCCATTCGATCCGCTCAATCTCATACAATATTCAAAAATCGTCTAAGGTCTCATTATCTGTCTCTATTGCTCATTTTTTCCTATTTATTTCTGAAATCTTCTAATATGTTGTATATATGTATGTATATGTGTAAGTTTATTTATATATATTTATATATGTATGTTTATTTATTCGTTTAATAATTATATTGTCTTATGTGTGCCATCTACCTCTTCTATGTACGTTAGTCCTATTGCTTGTTAGCAGGTTGTCTGTAAGAAATTGCTTATAGCAATAAGACCGCCTTTTGTAATTATTTTTTTTTATTTTCTTATTGTATTCTATGTGCACAATAAAGAGTTTATTATTATTATTATTATAAATTCTTGGTGAATTTGTCACGATGGGCTAACTGACTTGACCTCATGTTCACCTTATCATCCTCCACTGGTGCCCCGCCAGCGTAAACCCTTAGCGCAGGAGGGTGCACCATTCCATTATCATACATAAAAAATACTCACTCCTCAATCTCGGCCGCCGGCACAGGTTGGTAGTCACGTATGAAGTGTACGCGCACCTCCGTGATGTCATCCTGAGCGACGCCACTGGTGGCGCTCGCGGGCACTATCTGGTCGATATTGCAGGTCATCTCAAACCCGGCGGAGAATGTCTGCGCGATCTGCGGAACAACTTACTGTCACCATTATATTACCAACACACCAACACAAAACAGCTTACTGTTTCTGTGTGGATACTGCTGCCCAACGATTTTACTACAGATTACACCACACCACCACAGAAGAGCTTACTGTTTCTGTGTGGATACTGCTACCCAACGATTTTACTACAGATTACACCACACCACCACAGAAGAGCTTACTGTTTCTGTGTGGATACTGCTGCCCAACGATTTTACTACAGATTACACCACACCACCACAGAAGAGCTTACTGTTTCTGTGTGGATACTGCTACCCAACGATTTTACTACAGATTACACCACACCACCACAGAAGAGCTTACTGTTTCTGTGTGGATACTGCTACCCAACGATTTTACTACAGATTACACCACACCACCACAGAAGAGGTCACTTCTTCTGTGTGGTCATTGCCACGCCACAATTGTACTATAGCAGGGATGGCCAACAGGTCGATCGGCGACCTATCGACTATAACGATGCCCATACGAAATGCACATAGCATATACCCCACTATTAAAAAAACTAAAATATTAATAGACTTTTTTAGCGATGATAATGTAAAAGTGTACCAGACTGCATCAATTGTACATATTAATTTTAAAGCTTTAATAACGTTTCCACAATCGAATGTAAAAATCGTATTACACGGCATAAAAAATATTTTTTGTCGTTTCCGTACAAGCAGTAATTTTTACAGTACTAAGCAACAAACCAACATTTTATTCTTGCAAACAGCCAAATATTTAAATAGGCGTTTGTTTTATGATATATGGCACTATAAAAAGGTCATTTGTATTATAAAAATAGCAGCTACCTTTACCTAGTTTTTATTTTAGTAAAAATAAAAAAAAAACTATTTTCATACAACAACCTTGTGTTTATTACCTATATTTTATTAATGCGTTTTAAAGTGAGTGTTTACCATATATTATTTCTTAATAACCTATAAAATGGGTAATGAATATTAATTTCCGATAGTTCCACAACCCTATTTAAAAAATGCATAAACCTAGCTACATAGGAAATGTCAAATTTGTCTCCGAGATTAAAAAATAGACTATACCTACGTATAAAATACATGTTCACTTACAAAGTCCCTGTGAGTTTCAGTTGTTTCCAAAGTGTTCCAGAATATGAAAAATATGCGGTTCAGTGACGTTATCAAGTATATGTTCACCCGAGCTTTATCCTGTCCGCCACCTGGAAATTCGATAAGCAATTTCTTCGATCAACCCTCGCCCATTTCAAACGGGTATCGATATTACGACGGCCTGAACTGAGGTTCGAAATCCTAGCGGTGCCCTCAGACTAAAGTCGTATCCGTCAGGCGGGAGTTGGCCTTAAGCCGCTCCATAAGTCGTTCCGCGGGTTTGGAGTGCCATCTGCACTCGCCCCTATCGTCCGGTGAAGCTGTAAGGGCCAGCTGCGGCCAATAGTATTATAGTCCGAAATAAAGAGTAGCGATGCCATTGAACACAAGTTGCATGGTGAGTTTAATAAAATATACCTTTACATTGCAACCATTTTTTGCGAACAACCTCTTTATAACGAATTTTTAACTAACAAGAAAAGTATAAATACCTCTAATTAACGAATTTTGTCAACCCAAAATCATTATATATGAAAATTAAGTGTCATGTTGTTTGTCCGCGGTGGACTCCTAAACTATTGAACTGATTGCAAATTTGATTTGCACATAGTGTGCAATTTGATCCAACTTGAAAGATAGAATAGCTTACATCTCAATTTATAGTCGCAATATTATTTTATTACAAATTATTTTTATATATAAAGAAACTGTTAGCCACTGCAACGCGTGGCCGGGTCTTCTAGTCATTATAACATAGTATAAAATAAAATCGCTGTCGCTGTCTGTCCGTCCCTATGTATACGTAAATCTTTAAAACTACGCAACGGATTTTGCCATTGGTGTAGATTATACACATAAAATACAATGCGGTCCTTGTGAATTCACACAGACTACACACAAAGAAATCAGCTCTATGCCTTTTTTGTTATGTAATTGATATAAAGAGTGTAAATAAAATAAATACCATCGTCTGTAGCGATGATATTGAACTCGAACATGCCGTGCATAGCAGCCGTTGGTTGCATGATGAGTGTAAGGACCCCACTGTTGGGATCTAGAGTAAACGCTCTATCACGCACGTTCTCCAAAGTGGGATCTACAACCATAGACTCATAGTCTATAGCGTACGTAACCACTGCGTCAGGTTCCGTGTGGGTCGCCTGAAAGGAAAAGAATAGAAAATCCTTTATTCAAATAAACTTAATTTAAATACTTTTGAATAGTCACATTTTTTTATATCTACTACCGCTCATTCGGAAAGCTGTCTCATCACAAGAAGAACGACCTAGACACTTATATGTTGCTTTTGTAAATGTTCATTGTAAGTTTACATTTTTCTAGTCAAAACGTGTGAATACAAACTATCAAATATAAAAATACAATAAGATTAAATAATATCCGGTAATACCTATTGAATTACCTCATGAATACAAATGTTTGTGCCGAATTGAACCCGCGACCACCGGGATGTAAGGTGGTGTGCTAAACCGCTAGACAACCGAGGCCGTCAAATTACATCATTTAAATTAAGCAACGGATTTTAATGCAGTTTTTAACAATAGATAAGGTGCTTCAAAAGGAATGCTTATATGTATAATACAAGCCGAATTATAGTATAAAATAAGCAGAGAAATATTTTAATACATCCGTTCAAAGCAGGGACAGCTAGCTAGTATCTTATAAAATGCAGAGGAAGTCACAGGTAACGTCTAGTTTATATTACTGGTGTATATTTTAGTTACCTCCACAGTAAGTATTTCCTTGTTGATTGTGTCTAGTACAGATATTCCAGCTGAATAAACTTCCCTTACGAAATTTGGACGAGGGTCTGCTTCTCTTACCTGGAAATTGATATTAAGAATAATAAATATATTTATTATAAAATTTATTCGTTAGTAATTTTTTTTTTAATTATTTTAGTACGTATATTTTTACTCTCCTCACTAATATGACAGAAAACATAATATTACGTACTAATATTATAAATGCGAAAGTAATCGAAGTAAAATATCTATCTGTCTGTCTCGCTTTCACGACAAAACTACTGAATCGATTTAAATGAAATTTAGTACACGGATACTTTAGACACTGGGAACGTTACATAGGCTATTTTTTAATGCGATAAAACAACCCGTAAGGGGTTGAAAAGAGAGATGAATGTTTTTATGCATAGAAAACACCCAGATCGATATAAACAATCATATTCACGTATACAAATATTTGTGCCGTGCGAGGAATCGAACCTGCGACTATCGTAAGTAAGACGGCGTGCAAAACCACTAGACCACCGAGGTTGTCATTTTATAAAGTAAGCTTTTGTCATTTTTAAAGCTAGAAACTTGAAACTTATTTTTTAAGCTGTTGATTAAATACAAATAAATATAATAACCAGAGTTTGTAATTCTGGACGAATGTTGTCCCATTCGTTTCGGGTCAGCGGAATATGTATTTTTTTCCATTTATATATGCTCCCTGTATATACTTACTGCGCCCGCGGTTTCACCTGCGTGAAATATCTATGCGCGTTTATAGCCTATATTATTCTGATGTATAAGTTAGTGTAAATTTTCATCAAAATGAATGGATTTGTGTAGCAGTTTTTGCGTGAAAGAGTAACAATAAAATACAATGTGGTCTTTGTGAATTCCCACAGACTACATACACATATTTTTCGGACTACTCTAATGCTGTTGGCCGCAGCTGGTCTTTACCGGACGACGGACCGGCGAGTGCAGATGGCACTCCAAACTCGCGGAAGGACTTATGGAGCGGCTGAAGGCCAACTCTCGCTGGACGGATACGACTTTAGTCTGATGGTACTGCTAGGGGTTCGAACTCGACTCAGGCCCTCGTTATTTTGATTCCTATTTGAATTAGACGGGGGATTTAGCAAAAATATAATAATTACAATTTATTGAAATTGATAGTTATAAATGACTTGTAAATATTAATTATCTGTTTATTGGACAAAAGTTGTGTTTCATTATGTATACCCTAGATATGAATAATTTAATTATAGTCATGGGGTAAAAAGATTAAAAAGCTTATTTTATTATGTTTATTACTAATTATTATTATATTGGATTCTAATGTCTAACAGGATGCAATGAAGCACAGCCTGCCACAATTTAATTTATTGTTTATTTTATTTGTTTTGTTTATTGTCTTTGTGATGTAAGACTAGGCTAAGATTTGTTCCTGGATCTATAAGTTATTATATTAATATGTTCTCTAAGTAGTAGTGTTATTGTTACACTATCTCGTATATACAATATATATTGATTATAATTAGACTTGTCATAAGTGTCTGTTACGGACCTACATGAATAAAATATTTTTTTTTTTATGATCGATCGGAGGAGGTAGTGGTCAGAGCATCAGTGATGCTTCCTTTATAAAATCAGTCCTGCCGCGAGGCTCTTATGGATGATAATCGAATGATGCCTGCGCTAATGGTTTACGCTGTCCGGGCACCAGTGGAGTATGATAAGATAAGCACGAGGTTAGCACTGTCCTGCCGCGAGGTACTGCCAGCTGGGGCCTGCGTCACCTATTATAAGTAATAACTCACGGTAACAGTGACTGTAAGCATAGAGCTGCCGAGGGTAGGGCCTGGCGTTATAGAGTTGCTGGCTACTATCACCAGGATGTGTGTTGTGCTCTCGTTTCGATCCAGTTCCCTTTCTAAGTATATACTGTTCTCAACCGGGTCGACACCGAAGAAACCTTCGTTATTGCCATCTAAAAGAGAGAAAAGAACGAGTGTAGTAGACATACCTACAACTATACCTTTAGAAGCATAGCCAATTGATAAATTGTACTGTATTGTTGCGCGTACAACAAGACGCAGAGAATATTTAAATATTTAGACTGGGAGGAAGATTATTACAAATTTAGACTAATAACCCCATTGCTAACAATGTACCATGTCACGCGGATCCTGGTAAATTCCATTTGTTAGATGGGCTAACTGATCTGACTTCATGCATGCATTTTACCATCCTCCACTGGTGCCCTGCCAGCGTAATACGTCAGCGCAGGTGGGTGCATCGTTCAATTATCATTAAAAAAATCTAGCACCAAGATGTAGAGTGGTCTCCACCTATATAGTTACTATCCCTGCTGCTCGTATCAAGCTATTTGCATCATCTTTCCTTATGCGAGTAGCTGAGGAGTGAAACTCTCTCCCATCGTCTATGTTTCCTGTTTCTTACAACATTGGGTCTTTCAAGTCTTGAGTGGATAGACTCTATTTCAGCTTGCGTGTAATAGCTTAGTTATCAACAGTTGACATCAGGTGAGAATAATAATGGGAAATAAGCTGACGGCCCACCAGATGGTAAGTGGTAACCGTTGTCTGTATACATGGACAACACTACGGACACTATGTTATCACGCCATTCTGGAGGACTAAGATGTTATGTCTTGTATCCTATAATATTACTGGCCTAACTCCCTAACCCGTAACTGAAGCACAGCTTACAAAGCTGCTCGGTGGCTTCAAATAGATGAGGTACCCACGCAAACGATTTTTTCCAAAATCTATTTCTGTAAAATGTATCTTAAAGAATATAGAATGGAAAATTTGAAAGGTCACATGATCTATCGGCCTGAGGCCAGGTAGAAAAAGTCAGTCGGAGCCGGATGAGAGCTGAGCTGAGATGAGCATGAGTTCAGGTCAGTTAGCCCATGTTATTTTTTTATGATTGAATGGTGAATGGTGCTCCCACCTGCGCTAACGGTTTACGCTGGCAGGGCACCAGTGGAGGAAGATAAGATGAGCATGAGTTCAGGTCAGTTAGCCCATCTTATTACCCGACATGGTACATTGCTAGCAAAGGGATTACCCTTTGATTTGATCTAACAAACCACTTCCCCCATTCGTATACTGGAGATAGTTGTGATTACCTGTAATCGTATAGAATATATCGTAGCAGTCATTATCGCATTTGTAGTTTTTGGAATCTTCGGCGAGCGGCAATTGGAACCTCTCAAGCAACCCTTGTTCCTTTTCTGTAACAAACAACCAGAAATGTATTAGCGTCGGGTAATATCTCATGTATATATAGATATATAGTGATCTTAGCCTGTTATCTTTGGACGTCTAAATAAATAAACGATAAATAACACAAGGGTACTTAAAAACAAGGGAGAAATAAATATTGTTTAAAAATATTTATTTCTCCCTTGTTTTGAAGTATTTATTAAAAAAATAATGTTTCTCTTTTGTTTTAAACATGTTTATAAAAATATCTTACGCTACAACTACTTTAATAATAAAAATACATATAAATTACAAAATGTCTAGATTTTGTAATTGTTTTTTTATTATTCATCTGGACTTTTAACTTTTTGTAACTTCTTTTTCATAGAACAGTCATAAAACGTTAAATGAAAAAGAAGTCACAAAAATTTAAAAGTCCACATGAAAATTGATTACCTTGTATTAGAAGCATCTTTTGGAACAACTGCTTCTAATTACTTTTAGTAATTAAAAAATATAAATGAATTTCTATGCAGTTATATTTACCGAAGAAAGCAACGCTGGCAGTATTGGTAACGAATATTGGTTCTCCATATATGGGCACGAAGATTAAGTTGAGAGTGGAGTTGGAGGACAGTGGGCCCGGCTCGGTGCCTCCATCGGTAGCACTAATTGTCACCTATATAATAAAATCGAAAAATTGACACATTAAAACGTTCTGTCTGTGTAATAAAGTTTCAAAAAACGGCTAAAGGAATTAAAATCTGCTTAAATCTTGAAAACTACGCAACGGATTTTGGAGCGGTTTTTTATATTAGACAGAGTGATTCAAGAGGAAGGTTTATATGTATAATACATGTACACCCGCACGAAGCCAGCGCCCAGCCCTCTTTGGAAATGCTTCAAAAGCACGGCGTCGTCGGCTCTGTTTGGTAAATAATAAAAATAAAGAACCAAACAAGATCGCATACCGTGAACTCTCTAATTTCCTCAGCAAAGAGCTCTTTAAGCCTCAGAGTGCCTTGGTTTTCGCCGTCGTTCGTAACTTCGAAGAACTCATTGGCTTCAGCTGTTAAAAGGAAAATTGTTTCGTTAATATAAACTATATAATGTAACGTAATATAACGATAATTTCTTCGTCCTATTAATGATTAGACGAAAGGGTTGACGTAATACCTATATCTAATCATTCATTACATAGTATAAAACAAAGTCGCTGTCGCTGTTTGTCCGTCCCTATGTATGCTTAAATCTTTAAAAGATCTTGCGTAGGCAACGGATTTTGATGCGGTTGTTTTAATAGATAGAGTGATTCAAGAGGAAGGTTTATATGTATAATACATGTACACCCATGCAAAGCCGGGGTGGGTAGCTAGTACATTTATACAATTCTCGTGTCATAGGTTTCGTGTTTATACTCCTCCGAAAAGGCTTGACCGATTTTGATGAAATTTTATGTGTATATTCAGTAGGTTTATAACTAATTTTTATACCCTTAAGTGTTAAGGGTGACTCACCCCAAGAATTTCGTTTTCATTTTTTCGTCAACATTATTTATTTTTATTTTTTAATATGTGGCATTAAAAAATACATACAACCCTAAATTTCCCCCTTCTATTACCAACCCCTATTTTTTTAATAGCGATTTTATTTTCTGTGGCAAAACAACATTTGCGGGATCAGCTTTTTATTCTATATTAATTAGGCTTTTACGGTAGAGGGGAGAATCTGGAAGGAAAAGTACAACCTAATAAATATAATATTTCAACGTACAGTAGTTTGTGTGGGTACTAGTAGTCTTTCCTATTTCAGTCTAATATTTCAAAGTAGTTTGTGGGGGTACTAGTAGTCTTTCCTATATCAGTCTAATATTTCAAAGTAGTTTGTGGGGGTACTAGTAGTCTTTCCTATTTCAGTCTAATATTTCAAAGTAGTTTGTGGGGGTACTAGTAGTCTTTCCTATTTCAGTCTAATATTTCAAAGTAGTTTGTGGAGGTACTGGTAGTCTTTCCTATTTCAGTCTAATATTTCAAAGTAGTTTGTGGGGGTACTGGTAGTCTTTCCTATTTCAGTCTAATATTTCAAAGTAGTTTGTGGGGGTACTGGTAGTCTTTCCTATTTCAGTCTAATATTTCAAAGTAGTTTGTGGAGGTACTGGTAGTCTTTCCTATTTCAGTCTAATATTTCAAAGTAGTTTGTGGGGGTACTGGTAGTCTTTCCTATTTCAGTCTAATATTTCAAAGTAGTTTGTGGGGGTACTGGTAGTCTTTCCTATTTCAGTCTAATATTTCAAAGTAGTTTGTGGGGGTACTGGTAGTCTTTCCTATTTCAGTCTAATATTTCAAAGTAGTTTGTGGGGGTACTAGTAGTCTTTCCTATTTCAGTCTAATATTTCAAAGTAGTTTGTGGGGGTACTGGTAGTCTTTCCTATTTCAGTCTAATATTTCAAAGTAGTTTGTGGGGGTACTAGTAGTCTTTCCTATTTCAGTCTAATATTTCAAAGTAGTTTGTGGGGGTACTGGTAGTCTTTCCTATTTCAGTCTAATATTTCAAAGTAGTTTGTGGGGGTACTGGTAGTCTTTCCTATTTCAGTCTAATATTTCAAAGTAGTTTGTGGGGGTACTGGTAGTCTTTCCTATTTCAGTCTAATATTTCAAAGTAGTTTGTGGGGGTACTAGTAGTCTTTCCTATTTCAGTCTAATATTTCAAAGTAGTTTGTGGGGGTACTAGTAGTCTTTTCTATTTCAGTCTAATATTTCAAAGTAGTTTGTGGGGGTACTAGTAGTCTTTCCTATTTCAGTCTAATATTTCAAAGTATTTATGGGGGTACTGGTAGTCTTTCCTATTTCAGCTCCTAAGTAGCTTATTTTGTAAGTTAATACTATGTAATAGTGTATACGTTGCGCTACGGACCTAATTTAATTAATAATAATTAAGCAAATTTTTTTTGAGGGATGATAATAATACGCTGACGGGGCATCAGTGGAGGAAGATAAGATGAATATGAGGTCAGGTCAGTTAGCCCATCGTGGCAAATTCACCAGGAATTTAACTTGATGGTTTGCAAGAGAAACCGCGTGGAGGTCAACCTGACATGGTACATTCTTAGCAATGGGGTTTTTAGTCCATATTACTAACAATCCCATTTTCCCTGGAGAAATTATTATCTGTAGAGAAATGTATGATAGAACGAGGACGTTTTAACCGATCTGTTGTCCATTTTGTTGACCGTCAGGGCGTAGGCTGTTGCTCTCCATGTTGTTTCTCCTGGAACTGGCTTCCAGTTCCAGGAGAAACAACATGGGGAGCAACCTGACATGGTACACTGCCAGCAATGATGATAACAGTTTCAATTTCTCATTAATAATAACCCCCCACAGCCATTCAATGTACAAATTATTGTGGTACATACCATTGCCAACCACATCGAAGGTAACCATTCCGGCGTGGAGCCCGTCCTCGTCTGTTGCCGACACGGAGTCCAGAAAGACACTGTTCACCAACATCAAAGGACCGTTGGTAGTGGCCAACTCCTGGTAACGACATTGACAGTAAACAGTATATAAAAGACTATTATTATTTACGCAAGAAAATGTTAATCCAGCAGCCTTAGAAAACGTGACTCAGTTTCATTTAAACAAGACATTATATTGGTAAAATTGCCGTCATCAATGTCGTAACCATACAGAAAATTTATATTTACTTTTACTATTAAATTTAATATCTTTCATATGTATGTTAGTCTGTAAATTATTTATAGTATGGGCTATTAGAAGCCTGAATTAAATAAATTAATAAAATAAATTAACCCTTCAATTTAAAATAAAAAACTAATAATTGCTACATAAGAAAACAATTAAATAATTGACGTTTGGCAGCCCTGGAATCTTGGACTATTAATACTTATAATAAAACGATATTGTCACCTTCGTGATATAAAAAAAAACTTACTCTCGCCAGACGAACTGTGGTGCCATGCAACGGAAACACGAACACTGGTTCGTGATAGTTGTACGGGCGGATCTCTATGGGGTATATAGCATCGTCGCATAACTCAGGGTCACCGTGGTCGCACGCCTATAAACATTATAGGGTGAGTGGGGGGAAGATGAAAAACGGGGTAAGACAAAAAGGCATCCAATAAAGACAGATTTTATGCAATTTATCCAATGCCAACAACATTCACAAGATCGCCATTTCATTATGGTCTGGGCCATAGTCGGCACTTATTGTTATGAGGGATAGTTTGTGTGTTATAAGGGAATATCTACGACGATGAATTTGCGATGATGATGATAATGATGCGAGCAAGTTTAGTGTTTTAATATTACCCCGTGTCGTGTAACTTCATTTACGAAGTAGGCACGCTGATTTTCTGTGAGAGGGTCTATAGCACCGGTTGACTCTGCTCATTTTTGTTACACTGAACTTTAGACGTGTATCTACTACCAAACTACTTTTATTTAATTATAGAGAAAAATATAAAAGACATTAATTGTAAAAAATATATATTTTGGTAAATGTACCGTGTATCCATACGCATTTAGTAAAAATCGGTTATTTAATATTAGAAACAGACACTCACATTTTTTTAATTTGAATAATTGAAGATATATAACATTTTTTAGAAGTTTTTCTATGTTTTTAGTTATGGCATTTTTCTAAGATCTTATTAAATGGTAAGCTGTTTAATTTTAAATGTTTAATTTTTTACGTTTTATGTTGCATATTTTGTTGACGAAAATGGTAAAAGGTATATATACGTAATTGTGTTTAAAATTATCCTGTTATTAACAATAAAAGATTTTATATGATTCTTAACTTTCATTTTCTGTATAATCTTATAAAGATATAATCTAATAAAGTTTGAGAACCTCAAGGCAAAGCAAGGGCAAGATTGAAATATAAAAAACAAATAATTAGTGTTATCTCTGTTATTTGAAGGTATTTTGATATTATAGACAGTTCTCAAGTGTCAGGACAATTAAAATTATAGCCTACTAATAGTCAATATCGTCTAACATTAATTTAAACGATTTTAGAAACTACTTTGATTCTACTACTACTACTTTCTTTCGACAAAAACATCGATATAACATAAAAATATGGTCTTTGTACTTTATTCAATATAGACATAATTTTAGATTAAGTTAATATGTACTGTTCTACAAGACGTCAAACACAACACTGCTCATCTCATCAATAAACCGTTCAAACTTCCCCCCACTCACCCTATATTGACTATTTCATTACTTTGTCAATGTAATTGTTATATATCTCACTATTAATTTACAAATAATTATTTATTTATTTATTTATTTATTTATTTATTTATTTACATCGTACTAAGTGAGCTTAACAGTCTCCCAATATGCCCACTTAGGAAGATAATATACAAATACATACAATTATAAACAGTAATTACACAAGAAAAACAAAAGAGAAAAAAAAAAAAAACAATAATAATAATAATACCTAATCTCCATTTAACATACTACCTAAATAATCCACTGCCATCCTACGAAACTCCAGCAAATTACAAGTAAATATGTCTAGATCTGGAAAGCGACTAACTACACCGTTGAGTAGACTCAATGCCAGAGAAATAGGAGCCTGTTTGGCCAGCTCTGTTCTTCTCCATGGAACATGAAACAAGTTTCGTCTTCTTGCTTGTACGTAGTTATTGGGCGCTCTTATGGACACCGATGTTAATACCGCTTGGTTACATTTTTCACCTCTCATGACTTTGACTACATATTCCATTAATGCAATCTTCCGTCTTACTTCGAGTGTGTCATATCCCACCATCCCCAACAAAAACATAGTAGGATATATATTAGGGTATGTGACTCTATAACCATACTGCCTTTGATATACATATCGTATAAACTTTTTTTGGAGTTTCTCCACCATGAGTATATATTTTGACTCATGTGGGTTCCAGATAATTGCGTTACTTTCTAGTTTACTGCGTACGAAGACATTATATAGTATTTTAATACTAAGTATGTTGTCTAACTGGTGTGCCTGTCGCAATACAAATCCAAGGGTCCTGAACGCCTGAGTGCATAGTGCACTAATATGACTTCGGAAAGTAAGATCATCGCTCATCAAAACCCCCAGGTCTCTTATAGACTTTACCCTATTTAGCAGTGTATTACCTAACTGATAATTATGCCTATAGGTGTTGTTATGTCGTTGGCAAGACTGTTTTAAGTTTTTAATAATGTCAATAAAGCTGTTGTAGAATGTTCCGTTGCCTGTAAAGTCCATATTAAAAAAGTAAAACACTATTGGCGCCAAAACGCTAACACGTAATTTAAATAAAGAAATATATGTTCACATATTGAGAGATTAGAGCACACAACAGAAAGAGATTAGAGAAGAGAAATAAAACGGACTGATCTAAGTCTCAAATTTTTCAGGTGTGTAGTAATAGCTAATAGTTTCTATTTTAAACGAGAAAAACTGCCTTCCATAAGATTTAAATTACAAGTAAATAAAAAAATACGGGTAAATAAAAAGAATACCGGCCACTAGCAGAAGGAACTTACCTCTATAAATGCATCATATGTTCCCCAATAGCCTTTTAAATCCATAGCTGTAACGAGTTGTCCGCTCACGTTGTATAATTGTTTCATGTCGAAGAGTGATGTTGGGTGTTCAAAGCCTGGTCGATTGGTGACTGTCATGTTATGGATATAATATCTAACACGGGAGTTATCTGTATCCGGCTCATCTTTATCTGGAGCTGTAATGATTTTCTCGAGTTCTTCGCCCTGAATTTTCAAAATAAATTAGCTATGTAGATGACTAGGTCTCTACTAGGATACTAGGTCTCTATTATGGTATGGACATGTAATGCGTAGGAATGAGGATATTTTAAGGAAGGTGTTACTTATGAATGTGGATGGTTATACAGGCAGAGTAAGGCCTAAAAAGAGATGGATGGACTGTGTGAAAGATGATATGGTAAGAAAGGAAGTAAATAACGAGATGATTGCAAGCAGGGATAAATGGAAGTGAAAAACATATTACGCCGACCACAAATAAATGGGATAAGGAAGAAGCAGATGATGATGACTCGGTCTCATTTTGAGAATTAAATTAATATATTTGATTACTTAATGAATTTATATTATTTTGTTCAATACTGATATCATTAGCACACAAATGTGAGGCCACAAATATTCTGTGCGGAAACTTTAATGGTCTGGTCTACTGTAATAATAACAATCTCAGGACAATTCACACAGCGCCATCTAGATCAAATTAAGCAAGCTAAACCTTGTGATATAGTACTAGATAACTGATACAAATACATAGAAATATTTTTTTTCATAAATACATATGTACATATTATACATATCTAACCAGGCCGATACAAACTATCATTCTCATGAAAACAAAAGTTTGTGCCGTGCGAGGAATCGAACCCGCGACCTTCGGAACTAAAGCGGTGTGTTTAACCACTAGACCACAGAGGCTGTTACATTATTAAGTGGCATAAAATAAAATACACTCTGAGATTTGAAAGCGCACTTGGCATAAATATAGTGGTAATAATTATACAGCTGACGAAACATGTATTGTGGGATCGTTATGTGGCTATGCTTAATTTTTAACGTCTTGACCTAGTGGTTTATAATCCTGATTTTCATCCAAGACGTCGTGAGTTACGACACCAAAAAACTGTATATTTATGTTTCAAACTAAAACTTCAGTGAAGGTAACACCTATATCGGGGGGGAAAGGGGATTATTAGCAATGGGAACTGGTAACTCACATTGCTAGCAATGTACCATGTCAGGTCGACCTCCCCGTGGTTCCCCCTGGAAACCATCGTGATAAATTCTTGGTGTGTTTATCACGATGGGCTAACTGACCTGACCTCATGCTCATCTTATCATCCTCTACTGGTGCCCCGCCAGCGTAAACCGTTAGCGCACCCGCCTGCGCTAACGGCTCTCCATTCCATTCTCATAGATAAAAAAAACACCTATATCGAACTAGAAAATCATACGAAGCTACAGCGACAGGTTCGCCACCCAATGGGCAGATAGGACCCAATGAAATGCTAATACGTGTGTGCTAAAAAACAGCCTTTTGCTTTTGAGTTGAGAATGATTTTTATGGATAAACAAATTTTTTATCCTAACAACAAGTTATAACAGATAAATGAGGTTGTACGGTATAGAGTGAAGGGGGAAGATCGACGAAAAGATTTGGAAGGTAGGGAATGGGGTTTTAATTTGAATAGATTTTAAAATTCTCAAGCCAAATTTGACTGAAAGTGAAGTTTTACAGTGTTCATAAAATACCAAAGAGGAGATGAGCATGTACAATTCTTGTAAAAAAAAAATCTTCTCTCATCATCACCCAAATCTTCCTCAGACATTACTACTGCAGTAGTGTGCAACATAAGTGATAGTTTTTTTTTAATGGATATATTAATTTTGTTTCCGAATTTGCGCTTCCGTTAAGATTATGTTTAAATTTATTTCTATACATGTGTAAAGCCGAGCCTCGTCGTTAGACTTTAATAAAATAGGTACATTTGACTCGCGTTGCTTCCAGTGGTCGCGGGTTTAATTCTTCGCACGATACAAACGTTTGTATTTATAGCTATGATTGTTTGTATCTTATATCTGGGTGTTTTGTATGTATATTATAATATTTGTATTTTCAAAAATATAAGTATATATAGGTAATACATTCGGCTACGTTATAGATAAAGAAAAAGGGATATGTAATCTTTTGATAGGCCTTTTTGTTTATCTATAATATAGCCTAATATATAGTATATTATCTGTGATTTATCTGTCAATGAAATATTCTACGTAGTATTTCTATAAGTCAGTACCCACAACAAATCTCTGCTGAGCTTATAACTAGATGGCAATGTGTAAATTCAGGGTTATTAGTATCATTATTATAGGTGATACTAAGTTCTAGCAATGCCTAGTGCGAAATTATCGTACCTCTTTAAGATCCTCTGAAACACTCCAGTAAAGATCGTCCGGCAATTCTGGTGCATTATCATTGATGTCTTTAAGGATTATCAATATTTCGGTGTCATTCGAATTCCTCCTACCATCTGCAAATAAGATGACTTATGACTTTGGCTGGTGTATTGAATAAAGTATTCTGTAAGAGTACCGCAGTTTCACCTCCTTTTACCGCCAAGCAGCTTGCTGTGTAAACTGTGATTCAGTTAAAGGGTGAGACAGACTGTGAAGGGTGAACATAAGGTAGTGGAAGGTGCAGGTGGAATTTTAGTAATTAGAAGTATGGTTTTTTGTTCTTTGAAGTGGTATCACGGAAGTTACTTGATTTTTTTCAAATTCATATTCAAAAAACGTTTATTCATGTAGGACATTTTAGCCGCTAATGAACGTACAATTTTTTATATTATAAATTTTTCCTTTCCGTCTTTTATATTATAAAGGCCAAACTTGCGGCTCACCTGATGTCATTCAGCACCCGCAACACCAGTGGAATTGCAAGTATATTATTAAGCCGTTGTCTTGAAGGTTTCAAATTTTATGGATGGGCCCTGAAGACTTACCTCCGCCGGAATAGAAGTTATCGGTGAGCGTTAGGAATATGTTGTGTGTGGGCTCATCGCCATCTCTGTCGAGGACATGACCCTGGGCAAGTTCTACGTACACCATCCCTGTTTCCAGGTTGACAGCGAAGAAATCACGCAGCCGAGGGTTAACTTGGTAGTTGATTTGATAGGCCACAGTGTGATATATCTCTGAGGAATATACAAGTACCTACATTAACATATTATTAATTGCGTGTAAATTATAGCCTATGTGTTATTCTGATGAATCACATAACTATTATAAATGCAAAAGTTTGTGAGTGTGGGTGGATGGATGTTTGTTACTATTATAGTATTATAAAGTGGAATAGTTCGTTTGATCGTTTGAATGCGTCAATCTTGGGAGCCGCTGGTGTAGTATAATAATGTGAGGCGGCGCGCGGACTCACCTATCTCGCATATGAAGGCGCTTTTACGCAAAAACGGACTTCGGTAAAACTTTACAGTAACATAGCTTATACATTAGAATAACATATAGGCTATAATGGATAGATTATTATTATTTAAAGATATTGTGTAACTTGAGCGAAATACAATGGTAAATATCAAGTAAATGTAATGCACACGAAGTTGTGCGGGTCAGCTAGTAAGCTATAGTATTGTAAAGTTCCATTAAAATCCATTCATTAGTTTTTGCGTGCCAGAATAACGAACATATTTAAACACGTTGAATTTCAGACTTTTTTTTTAATTACAACCTTTCATACAAAGATGGCATATTACGTTTTGTTACATCGTTTACTTATGCGCTTACATTGCGTTTTGTTACATTAGAAACTTAAATCTAACACCCCCACTTAACAAAACAAACAATATAGCTTATTTTAACTTACTAATGCTTAAATAACCTACATTTAATAAATAAACAAGCAAGCTATCAAAACAATATAGGTAAAAGTCTACTCCTAAGATGTAATTCCATCCATCCACACTCACAAACTTACGCGTTTATAATATTAGTAACATGTTTATGGTATCATACCATCTCTGTCAAGGTCGTTAGAGACTATCTTGCCGATTTCATAGCCGGTTGTCTCGTTTTCGTATACGTAAAACGTTGTGTTAAACTTCTCTTCTTCAGCGTACGGCCACTTGTTGTTTGTGTCCGTGATTTGAATCGTGATCTAAACAGAACATAATATAATCATAACTAATAGGCCGCCAGTAGAAATTGGATCTTGTGGCAATCACTACAAACAATGCCACCACTGTAGGAACAGACCGACCAATCCGGGGCACTCGCAGCCTCCCGCCCGCTGTCTATTTTATAAATATGTCAACTGTATCAATAGGATAAGTAGTAAATTCCTTGCATTACATATAGGCATAAAGTTTTGTGTATTTTACAAAATAAAACGGCTTTCCATAAGAGGGCCTTTAAGTCACACCATACAAACCCTGAGATCCTGCCCACCATCCTGACCACGCCCATATCTGGCGCCCAAAATCTTAATTAATTCAACATTCAGTAACACCATAGACAAATAATATTAGAGACACAATGATATTAATATCCAAATGCCCGTGAAATACATAAACAGGTGACTATTTACAAAGTTTATCTCTGGAATGCTGTGCGATACTCACGTCTCCATCTGTATTCCATTCGGTCTTATCAGAGGGACAATCGGCTTCGTCCTCCGCATAGCATCCATCACTGGCAGTAACTGTGTAGTGGAGCTCAAACCGAGGCGGGATATCAGCGTCGATCTCTTCATTTGCGTCCACCTCGATTTGTCCTGTGTAAAAGTGAATCTTCACCAAATCCTCAGGGGTGTCGCCTCGAGGACTGCAAATAACAAAAACGGTTGGTTGCTGTGATACCACTGTTATCCCAAATGTTAAGAAGCCTGGAAGTTTGAGGGATTGTTAACTGTCGTTTTTGTCGTAAATGCAAGCTTTCCCTTTTGAACAATCCCTCGACAAATTCAAACATGAGCCAAAATTACAATGGCCTTAGTCTTGTTTAATGTAGGTACCTTGTAATTGCAATTAAATATTATCCACACACACAAATGACCATTTTTAACATTTTCTTACGTTGAATAAACGTTTTTACCTTACACTAGTACTAGACATAAACACTCCATTACACTACTGGGTAGTTTTTAAGTTTTGCATAGCTTTTATCCCGGGCTTTGAGCACGGCGACCGAATTCCGTAACGAAAAAAAACCTAACACTCCGACCGATACAGCGGTGCGGCGTTGAAAGTCGTGCATCGTCTAACGTCGTTTCAGTTCGGCAGACTTCGGCACGGTGTTTGTGTGAGTGCGACGAGCATAGTACACAGTCAGTCGAGGTCGTCCGCTGGTCCTTACGGACCGCCGGGTGCGGGCCTCGAGCATAAGCTCTTTGCCCGGGCGTACTGCTGGGGTGTGCCACCCCAGCGTCGTTCGTTTACCGGCCGGCCTGCCGGCCGGCCGGAAGCCGGCTGCTTGCCAGCAGCCGGCTGAGGGAGTCGTGTGGGAGGACTGTTTAAGTCGCTCGCCGAGCCGGCTTAACGCCGCCACGTCACGTAAATGACGTGATCACTCGATGGTCGCGCGGGAGCGCGCGAGTGGCGTCCGGTGGGCGCGCGTGGAGAGGGGCGAGGTCGCGCAGGTGCGCTTCGCGCCCGCTGTCCGCGCGCGAGAACATCGCGCGCGTCAACCGGACGACGAACTGCTCCACCGATGGGACCTTGAGGTCGCGGGCGATCACGTCATTACGGACGTACCGTACGGCATTTGTGCACAGACGGAGGGCGGCGTTCTGTTGGACCTGCAGTCTCCGCCGAAGAAGAAACGAAGCTCACCTCGTTTACGTCCGGCGACGGAGCGGTACGGAACTCGCATACGCGACGTACGACTCGCTCGTGGTGCTCGACGACAGTGCGTGGTGCGTCGGCGGCGACGGGATTGGCCGTAAATTGCCCCTCCAGGTGCTGTGCCAGGATTTCTGCCCGGTCCTGAGCTGCGTAACAACGTCTGCCCGTCTCGTCTAGCAACGGGCAGACGGGGGGTCGTGCGTTGGTGAGCTGTCGGTTGAGTGCGTGCAGGGTGGTGGCGTGTTCGTCCGCCCGGGAGATGACGGCCTCCCAGGAGGAGCCACGCCAGTCCCGCATCCCTTCCGACAGCTCCGCAGCCAGGCAGTTGAGCTCACGCTTGACCCGCGGGCAGCGGGTGCGAGCCCATAGGCGGCGGAGATCTCTCTTTCGCGCCAGTTTTTCGCGCAGATGGTATGGCAGCTCCTCTCGACGGCGAGAAGCCACGTTTACGGTGGTAGTGGCCGCCTCAGTGGCGGAGCGAATTCGCTCCGTCATGAAGACGGAGGCGGCCTCTATGTCCTCGGGCGTTGATAGGTCGCCGTCGAGGTGCAAGTGCTCCAGTTCTGCGCGAAAAACGCGCCAATCCATCCGCCGCCTCGACGGTCTCGTCGATGTGGTGGTGGTGGAGAGGTCAAGCGTGGCTAGGACAGGGAGGTGCTGCGTATCGAGGTCGTACAGCACCTCCAATGTCACCGGGCAGGGCACAGCCTGTACCAGGGCTATATCCAGAACGTCTGGGTTGTGTCTCGGGTTCGTGGGTACGTGGGTGGGGTGTGCAGGGCCCAACACCTCGTACCCGTGGATTTGGGAATCCTGGAGGAGCCTTCGACCTACCCGCGAAACAAGACGGGAACCCCAAGCCGTGTGTTTCGCGTTGAGGTCGCCCATTAGCAGGGTAGGGCTCCTCCCATCCAGTACGTTCCGGATATCGGAGGGGCAAAATTCAGGCACCGGGGGGCGATACGCTGCCAGGACCTTCAGTTCCGCGCCGTCGACATTGATGCGCACGCCTATGGTGCGCATGACGCGGAACTCGGGGCGCTCTAATTCCACGTGTACTACGTCGCGGCGGACTAGTACCGCTGTGCCGCGGTACCCTTTGCCCGCCGGTAACCTTTCGTCGCGTCTGTACACGTGATAATTAGGCACCCTCAACGTCTCCTTTTCTGTCAGCTTCGTTTCACCCAGGAGTATAATGTGTACGTCCTGGGTGTGAGCTAGGAGACGGAGGTCCTGGATCTTGTCTCTCACTCCCCCGGGGTTCCAATACACGATGCGTAGCTCGCTACTGGCCATTCGTGTATTGGTTTATTTTGGCCAATCCTTTTGTCGCCGCCGACTTTATGTCCACGCCGGCTGCGAGCGCGAGCAGCAGCTCCGTCAACAGGCTAATAAGCATATCTAATGCACTGTTGACGGGCGCTTGTGTGTTGGGCGCGGGCGCAAGCACTCTACGTGCCGGTCGCGTCACAGAGGGTGCAGGGGGCGCATTTCGCGCGTCCACCGCTTGCGAAACGGCGGCTGCTGTCGGCACTGTTTGTGCCGGTAGCGCCGCCTGGCGGCGGCGCGGCGCAGCTCGCGGGCCCCTTGTTTGTACCGTGGATGTGGGTGGGGCGGAAGGCGCTTTGTCCGCCTCCGGGATGCGGTGGGAAGGGACCGGCGTCGATGCCAATACTGGCGCATCCCCGGTCCTCTTCTTACCACGCCTACGGCGGCGACGCTTCTTGGTGCCGGCTCCGACGCCGCGTTGTGTCGGTTCATTTGCCGGCGCCATTAGGTTGGCGTCTGTGGCTTCCTCGACCGTAATAACGGGAGGGGGGGCCTGGGCGACAAATGTGCGCGGTTTCGCGGAGGGCTTGCCGCGCCGCTGTTGCGCCCTAGGCACAATTGTATTCGTCTGGGGGAGCGGGGGGCGGGGTTTGATACCCCTCTGCCTGGCCTCTCTTTTGTAGACCGCACACTTGCGGTCATTGGCAGTGTGCGGCTTGGCACAGTTGGCGCAGGTCGGTTTGTGGTCCCGCGGGCGGTCGCAGTCCGCTGCCAGGTGGTCACCCGCGCAGCGGACGCATTTGAGTGGACGGTGGCAATTTGTCGAGGCGTGCCCGAACGCCTGGCATCGGTGGCATTGCGCGAGCACCGATGCCGGCTTCCACGCCTCGATGACCACACCTCGCATGCAGAGGAGCTCTGTGACGGCATATAGCCGAGCGAGCTCCTCTTTCGCCATGGGGTCCAGCTGTGCGTGGAATATGCATCCGGGGCGGCCGCGGCGCGCCGGAATGCCGCGCACCAAACGCACGCCGAACCCCCTGTGCTTCAGGGCCTCCACTATGCTGTCGATTGGGGTGTCCGCTGGGAGGCCCCTTATGGCTACCTTGGTCGGTAGCTCCGAGGCCAGGCTGTAGTAGTACCAGCTTATGGTGGGATCCCTCTCGCTAGCCTCCACCAGGTACTTTTGTATAGCACGGAATTCCGCATCCGACTTAGGGAGAAATCGGAATCCCGTGCTGAAGGGGCGGGCGTTGGGTGCCTCGCCCAGGACTCTCGCCAGATTCGCAAAGTGGCGGGTCCAGTTCGGCAACCTCTCAGCCACTATAGGCGGATATTTAGCCGCCGCAGTGGCTGGCCCTTCGCTTCCCGAGGGTTGGGGGGGGGCTGGCACGACCGGTGCTGCCGCCGGAGTGGCGGTTGAGGACGACGGTCCTGCTGCTATCGCCGCAAACGACGGAGGTGTCCTCGTCCTTGGTGAGGGGACGGGCGGCGGGACTGACTCCATTGTCGGGTCACTAGCAATGCCCGCGTATGACGTTACGTCAAAGTCACCCCGGTTCAAGGTGAACGAGCGGGGTGAGGCGCGGGGCGAGGCACGGGGTGTGGGGACAGGGGACTGCGGTGACGAGTAGGCGTCGCCGTAGTAGCACCCGTCTGTCTCTTCTTCCCCGCTTCCAGATGAGGGAGAAGATGAGCGCGGGGGCAGCAGCGGCGATCGTCGCATTGCACCTGTCTGGGGGAGGGGCTGGTTGCTCCTGTCCAGCAGACGGAACTGGGGCCTCGGAGGCGACCTCTCTAGGTCGATGTCGGACGGGGGGGACTCCTCCATGTCCCTCCTCTTGTCACCTCGAGCCGACGACGACGGCGACGGCGGCGTGCGCCTTTTCGAGGGGCCAGGTTGTGCTCCCGTTACCCCCCCGCCTTGTTCCCGGTCGGCGGCATCATTGCCGCTTCCCGCGAGGGCAGGGGGGGTACCTTTGGTTCCCGGGCGAGCGTGGAATGTCCCCAACTCGGTGGTGGGGACGAGCTTGGTCGGGTCCGTGAGGTCCCGACGCACTACTGTGCGTGGGTTACCCCTATCGGGGGGTTTCCTAGGAGCTTTTCCCCGTTGGGACATGCTCTTGGGTCTACTCCTGCGTTGGGGACACGACACGACCTGAAAAATCCAGGCCGCGCCCTAACCAATCTAACGCAGGTGCACTTGTCCTCCCCGTGAGGCGGCACCTGCGGGATTGGAGAGGGTGGTGTGGGGGTTGGAACCCCACTGCGAACCTTCTAAGAAGGTGGGTTGTGGCCCTGAAGGGCAGCAGTCACTTTGGTGACAATCGCAGTTGGATTGCAGCGACGAATTTGCACCAACAAATTCGGTCTGCAATCTTAGCGCGTTCTCTCGCTAGACAAAGTACACTTTGTGTAGCTGGATTACGCACTGTATCGCTCTCAACAATTTGCGCAAGTGGGCACCAGTTGCGGGGCTCACTCTGGAGACTCGACGGCGAACCGGAATCTCACAGAGGATCACACGACCAACGGTAAACTCAACAAGCAACAAATTGGAAAGCGACGCATAGTACACGAAGCTCGCACGAGACGAGCTGCTCCGAAATCGGACGAGTACGTAAGCAGCTGTTTGTGAGAAAGTATATTATTTTATTACTGTATAATAAATTGTTTTCTTATCGGTCACCACGCTCAAAAAGTGTAACTTGAATTAATAACAAGGAAAAAAAAATACTGCCTAAATAAAATAAAAAATTAATTATAATTGCGTAAGTTGAAAAAAAATTCTATGCAATAGCTTCATGGCGGCAGTCCCCGAGTGCCATTTTTTTTAAATTATTTATAATCATTACAAGGATTCGTTATGAATTAGGTGGTCTAAAATATCACATTTTTCTTGAATTGTCCGTGTTTTGTGCTTTCGCTTCTGAACTGATAGGTAATACACAATGAAAAAAGGCAGTAAACAATGAACACCACTATCTTCTTCATATGGAAGTAGTCAAATTCAACTAAGCAATCATAATCAAAACAATACCCTACGCGTCGAGTATAACAGTGGTGACACGTACAAGACTAGTTTAAACTTGTTCAATCATGCATTAGCGACGATTGTCAAAAAAAGATTCAATATTAAATAATAGACCATGTCAGATTACAAGGGGGGCCGGATAAGACAGGGGCCGGATTACCGCGGGTCTACTGTATATAAATCCATCGAGTAGTGAAGACTTTCGCAAAATAACACCTAATTCGATTAAATATACTTAAATGACTTTTTGTAATACTTAATTTTAAAAAATCTTACCGAATAGTATAGCGGACTTGGTTATACAATGGTCCATCTATATCTGTGGCTAGCACAGAGCCAATAACAGTACCGCTGGCGGCCATTTCTGTCACTCTGAACACCTGATCTAGGGTCCCGTTTACCCATAGCGGCGGGTTGTCATTCATATCAATTATTATTATGCTGAAAGTTGCTGAAATAGGATATTTTATTTATTTATTTAATTCAGGCTACATGGCTAATGACATCTGGTCACGTCCCGTTTTGAATGGGACAGCCCGTGTTTATAAATACGAATGTGTGCCCGAAATGAACTCTGGAATGCAAAATTTACCCGTTTACGATAATCGTGCGAAATTTTAAGTAGACGAGCCGGTTGTTGGTTGTTGGTAATTAAGTGAGTATAAAAAAACTTGCCAAGAGTGTCATTCTAACTTAAATTCTTCTCAAAAAAGCAAATTTCTTCCTCCGGCAAATATAATTGAACATTTTATTTTTATCAGATAAATATATATATGATTAAACAAATTTATCGGTTATATTTTTTAATTAGTAACTTTAAAGCTAACTTTTTGTGAAAAGAAGAGAAAAGAGAAAATGAAAAGAGTTTTTTCATTGACTATCTGTTAATTAACCTAAATAAACTGATATCCCGTTTTGAGACGAAGTTATACATGGAAATATTACAGATACCTTATAGACTAACATACGTAAGAAAAAATAATCCTTATTAATATTATAAATGCGAAAGGAACACTGTCTGTCTGTTTGTCTCGCATTCACGCTAAAACTACTGAACCAATTTAAATGAAATTTGGTACGTAGATACTCTAGCCTCCGAGGAAGGACATAGGCTAGTTTTTAATGCGAAATAAGGGTTGTAAGAGGTTGAAAGTGGAGATACAAAGATATCTTATGCGGTTGAATCATATAAATGCGTCGTATATGTCATTTGTATAGGCAGTGCGCTGCCTATATAAATACAAACTAATGCGCAATTAATTATTGTCAATCTGTTGTCTCCTTCAAAATTAAAAGATATAAACTTTTGCTCTGCAATTTTATTTAATAAATACTTAAATATAATCATGGTACAGCCTATAACTGGTGACCCCGCCCTTGGACAAAAACGTAAGAATCATATTTTTTAAGAATAAAACTACATATAATATTAACAATTTTGTCGATGATGAAACTTTTTTATTTGGTTAGATTACTAAATATTTTTCATTATTTGGTCAAGATCATTATTTTACGCGGACGAAGTCGCGGAAACAGAAAGTAAAATATAAATTCACGTTGTCTGTGTGATCACGGCACTGAGGACGGCAATCTGCCACGGTAGCTCCGATACACCATCCCCTTTCGGCCAGTAGTCCTCTTTCATCAAGGTTATCATAGTGTAAGTTTAACAGAGAATTCATTTAAGAAGATATGATAAGAAGACATATAGGTAACGGTTACCACTTACAACAAGCAGGCCGTGAACTAGTTAGTCATTTCCATGCTATAAACAAAATTATTTAAGAGATAAAGTATAAACAATAAGATAAAGTATAACCATACCTCACGATACATGTATACAATTCAATATATTAGACGAATTAGACTGTAATTATTTTCTGCTGTTTTTTTGTGACTTTTATGAAAACAGTTCATTCTGTTTACCGGAAACGAATATCTCGTGAGGTGGCATATCCAGCTGTTAAATGTCAGTTTAAAAAAATTACTTGGACTCGGACTTACATTCATCATACGGATCTCCAAGTACGGTATTTAAATCTCTAGCTCTGACAGTTAGATACAACATATCAAATTCTTCATAGTCGATAGTGACATTATCACGTATTTCCTTCACAAGCACGAGTCCGATTGCATTGCGGAGGTCATCTGGGTCAGGATATATTGTTTCAATGTATATACAACTGGAATAAAACATATTGGTTTTTAAACTCTAGAATAACATTGAGAACAGACAGGGACAATGTTTGGACACTTGATACGGCACGATGAATTTATTAATGTTATTATTGAGGGGGAAAATAGAAGGAAGGGAGGGGAAGACCAAGGTATAGTGACATAAAGCAAATTAGGGACAAAATTGGAGAAGCGCAGCATCAACAATTAAAGAGAATGATAAAAGATTGTGGGAAGAAGCAAGAGTTCCGACGATAAGAGCGTGACTCTTCATAACATAGTATAAAATAAAGTCGCTTCTAATAACTTTTCGCTTAGATCTTTTAAACTCCGCAACGGATTTATGTGTATACGTATACATGTACACACGTGCAAGGCCGGGGCGGGTAGCTAGTAAATTATGAATAAATAAATGAATTCTCAAGAATGGTAAAGCTGATAATTTTTTAAAATCTGTTACCTATCTCAAGTAATTTTGTCGTTAGTGGTAAAATTGCCTGTGTTTGCCGTAGCTTAATTCGGAGGCATATAAACGTAGTCTCAGTAATATAATATTATAATAGATCTCAGCAAAGCATTAGAAGAACTACGCTGCTTATCGCGCTTTTGTCCCAATGTATAAATTGAAGTTCGTGAAAAACATAATGTAGAATGTAGAATTCGTTATAATTTCGTAATACAAATTAAAAATCGCGGGAAAAAGTAAGATTACTGACAATATTACAGTATGTATTACATGTAATTTTGTTTACACTGATTTCTTTCACCTTATTGAATGTAATCTATAATATTTATTCACTTTATATCGGATATCTATCCTTGTTATATCAGTAAACAATTTATAAACTGTGTATATATATATACAACAGATATCTTTATCTCTCAATTCGTATATCTATGTCAACATCCAGACGCACGGGGCCTGCAGCAGAACAATGATGTCCAGTGCCTCTGGAGTGATCCGGAGTGACAATCCGACATTTGTTATAATGTTTAAGAGGCTGTTTGCGCTTTCCCAAATTCTACACATCAGCGATGCAGTTCTTTATAATGCCCAGAAATGATTCAGCAAAAGTCCGTGTGCTTTTCATCGAATAATGTTAATTTTGGTCATTACTTGTACAATCTTCACTGGACGATAGGGGGCGAGTGCAGATGGCACTCCAACCCCCAGAAGGACTTATGGAGCGGGTGAAGGCCAACTTCCGGTTGACGGATACGATCTAGTCTGTCTGAGATCTGAGGGCGCCGCTAGAGGTTTGAACGTCAGCTCAGCAGTTGTAATTTAGATCCCCGTTTGAATTGGACAGGGGATCGATCGGAGGAGATTAACGACAGGTGTCAGAACGTATTCTGTGACGTTCGTAATACTGTTCATCTACATAAGCGATACACATTTCATTAGGTAGGCCATTAAGTTTGCAATTACAATTTAATGAAGGAAAGTAATCTCATAAAAAACGTTGTACATACTTAAGATAGTGAATAGGATCGGTTGTCCTTCCCTGTTTGGTGGCATAAGAGGTATCCCAGTCTATTTCAAAAACGACCTCAGCAGTTGTATCAGGATCCGAAGCGTGGAGTTCACGGGTGATTTCGTAGCATTCTGGCACATTTTCTTCTACTTGTGGGCTAAAACGAGGCTGGAATACGAACAGTACATTGTGAAAATTATATATAAAAATAAAACAAAGTCTTCTTGTCAGTATTTAAGTCGCGAAATACGAATGACTGAACCGGTCCATCCGCATGCCCCTGGAAGAGTGCCTCGGGACACCTTTGCACCGGTAACTTTCCGAAGGGACTGGATTAGCAATCTCAGTAATTCTTAACAAAAATAGGACTAAAGAATATATATACAAGGGATAGAAGAATTTACAAAAACTAAACCTAACTTAAGATTTAGTGTTAACCTCGCATGACATTCATTGACTGTTTACGATTATTAACAGATGTATACTAGTATACTATGATTATTTGATTTGTATTCACACGTTTCGACTTAAAATTTCAAGTTACAATGATTATTTAAAAGAGCAAGACACAAGTTTCTTGCTCATTCTTCTTATGACGAGACAGCTTTCCGAATGAGCGGTAGATTAAAAAAATTGTGATGACTATTCATAAGTGCTTAAATTAAGTTTATTTGAATATAGGATTTTCTATTGTATTATTGTGTCCCACGGTTCTGTTTCGGTTGTAAGGTACGATTAGACAATGAAATTACTGGATAAGAGGGATGATGTCTGAGACATCTGAAATGGCCAAGTATCAGCGTATCACTGGTGTCAAATGATAATATGATGTCAGTAGTGCTGTTCATGTACATAAGCGACAGTTACCGTTTACCATCTTAGATTGCATGTCATTGTGACATAAAAATATCTGACGTTCATAAGCGGCTAAAATGTCCTTCATGAATAAATGTTTTTAGAATTTGAATTTGAATATCTAAAAAAGGGTATCCTCTGCCATTTTTTTAAATGCAATGGTAACCACCACCCTAGTCTTCTGACTTAACTGGATATGAATGATAACTCGGAACTGTATTGTTTTAAAAAGAAATTGGTACAACTTCATCTACACTGGTATAAAATTAGGGATACTCTAACTTTACCTAAACTTTACAGTAAAATAGCTTACACATACTTTATATAACACATTCTTTAGTATAAAACAAAGTCAATTTCAAGTAAGCATGATGCAGATGTAATTACGCGAATAAGTTAGTATATAAAACTAGCTGTGCTCGCGGTTTCACTCGCGTTAAAATTCAGTATATAAATTTCAATTAAAAATATAGCCTATCTGTTATTCTGATTCATTAGCTATATTCCTGTAGTTTCTTCAACATCCGTTCAGTAAATTTGCGTGAAACTGTAACAAATATCCTTACTTACAAACTTTCGCGTTTATAACATTATTAAGATTAAGATTATTATGTGTGTTTATAAAATAAAATAAATCTCACCAGGCGTAGAGTGGGTGGGGTGTTGTTGATGTCTATTAGCTGTATTACAAACTGCGAAGTAGCCATATTGTATGGTTCACCAAGAGTATCATCTGCACGTACCTAAAAATATTACAATTTACACGTACACTCTTTATAAAGCTTCGCATTCTGTAAGACTGACGGGTCTTTTTGATCTAGACCTAGGATATCCTCCTAGACATACAAATATACCCATACGGGGGAAAGGAATTGTTAGTATTATGGATTAATAACCCCATTGCTAGCAATATACCATGTCAGGTTGACCTCCACGCGGTTCCCCTTAAAACCTTTGAATTTGCCACGATGGGCTTACTGACCTGATCTCATGTTCACCTTATCGTCCTCCACTGGTGCTCCGCCAGCGTATACCGTTAGCGCAGGCGAAGGAACCAGTGTATTATCATCCCTCACAAAAATATAGCCATACGGCATGACGCATAAGGTGCTCAAGCGTATACCCGGCATATAGTCGGTATGAAGTATTAGCCGGACATCTGTGTCCCCATAAGAAAGAAAATGGTCGGCTTGGCGGTGTCGAGATGATGGTGGACCTCATTGATGTATGCGTGTAGTCTGATGTTATAGAAATCTATATTGACAGTGGATAGGGGTGCCGCTGTTTTTTCACCTATTTTTACCGGCAAGCAGGTTTTGTAAGCTGAATGATATGGTGGTAAAATTACATAGTACGTACGCACCATAGTGTTCAGGAATAGTAATGCATGAGGACGATCAAAAGGGCTTTACACAACTACGTGTCTTTCATTAATATAATTAACACCCTCAGCGCCATATGTGTCTTTTTGTCACACAGTGTCCGGAACACTGTGTATTCAAAAGTATATACATCTTTCTACTTAGTAAACGCGTCGTGTATCCTTTAAGGAACACACTTTCTATACATTTGTTTCACAAAAATGAAAGCCCATAAAAATCTAAGAAAAAGGAGCGAAACGGGGAGGGGTGAATAACAATATACAACTATAATGTAGTTTTAAACACTTCGAACAAAAAAATATATAGTTTTTTTTAAGAACCGTCACTTAGGGTATGGCGCTGAGGGTGTTAAACTTCAATTTATACTCTCAGACGATATCCAACCACTTAGGTTAAGGTGAGACTTGCATAACTTGCCCACGGCTACGTTTTACCATCCCATCGCTCGCCATCGACAGGCAATTCATTCCCACACGCTGGAACCTAAGTGGTCTCGGACAGTGTCGTTTTCGAGGAATTCCTTCCCTCGTACACTTAGTTTGTGGAATGACTACCTGCGCAAGTTTCTTCTAGAGACTAAATACTGCATGGGGGTTTTCAAGAAGGATGTATTAGGCTTACTTAAGGGTCGGCTACACAACTGGTATTTCAGGTGTCCGTAAGCTACGGTAACCATTTACCATCACATGGGCCGTATGCTCGCTGCCATTACCGTGGTATAAAAAAAAAGAAAAGCGAATTCGCACCAGAAAATGTTGGTCGTTAACGCTATTTCACAATACCTACTATTATTTTGTACATTGCACAGAGTACATTATAATCATCGACTAAAAACTCGACCAAAGACCAATAATCACAAATACTACAAATAAACTATTAAATAGAGAGTTTTAAATAGTTTTAATAACATACTCGTACTTTCGAAGTTACGCCTAAAAAAAAATATACTCATTAACTATAAGTATATTTTTTTAATTTCCTATATAAAGAGAAACTTCGTAATAAAATTTGGATAGCACCAAAATCATTGTGTATGTGGATTCAAATTCTGATTACTTTTAAGTATCTAACTTGGTAAAATGAGATCAAATACATTTGCTATGTTTTTGTGTTGCTTACTTGAATAAACAGCTCGTTCTGCGTGTGGTAATTAAAGGAGTCGTTGACTGAGACGTGAATTTCCCCAGTAAATTCATCTATTTTTAAAAAGTTTACTGCATTTCCCATTAGACTATGACTGTAACAGAGATTGAATAGAATAGAATAAAATGGAATAGAGCACACAGAAAATGGTCTATTGTTAAAGCTATAATTCTGAAAGGTACTCATATCTTAACGCCACGCATGAGAAGAAAATGTTCCCATATTTTTTATCTTAAAAATACATACATATTATACATAGAAAACACCCAGACGGATACAAACAATCATACTCGTGAATATAAATGTTTGTCGGCGAGGAATCGAACTCGCGCCCATCGGAAGTAAAGCGTTGTGTTAAGCAGCTAGACCACCGAGGTCGTCAAAATAAATGCAGGTTGTATTTAGAATCTTTATTCATATTAAAGTGTGAGATGTGTCCCAGATGTGGATGGGAAGATGACGGTGATTTGTATTTAAATTTCAACATACACGACCCGGTCATCGATGTCTCTGTCAAAAGCCCTCACAGTGCCCACGTAGAAACCTTCTCCTTCCGTCTCGTCAAAAGTAACTTCTTCAATGGTTTCATTAAATATAGGCAGTTCATCGTTCCAATTGATCAAATCAATATATACAGTAGCATTGCCTGTTTCGCCGTTGCCCAAATCTGTTGCTATCACCTGAAATTAGTTATATCAAAAGCTGTAACATGTGACATTATCTCTCCTCTCCTCGTGGGAGCTCTGTCTCACCTTATTTTGACATTTGTTAAAGATATTTCTACAAGTAATTTTAGTTTCATTCGTATAAACTAGATAGCGCTATAAGAAAATGTAAATAGCGCTGTTAAGATGTTTTCGGTTATAATGACCTGGATGTAGAATTTTAAATAAACAAACCCAATCATCCCTATTGAAAAAGTTTCAATTGAAACCCTCAATAGCAGTTTTTGCCCTCACAGTAACAAGTTGTTCAATGGTCCTTCGAGCCGGATTTGATTCAGCAATCTAGATTTTATTGCATTGATCAAGCTTTGTAACCTGCGCGTAGGATGAAGGAAGATATGGCAGTGAAATTTAGTGCTCCACGAGCAACGACAACATGATGGTAAAAACCTTAAAGTATAGCTAATAATATAGCAATCAGATTAGTTCTGTTGGAAACTTACATACAACACTATATTTTGAAAATCATCTTCTTCATAGTCCAACATGCTGTGGTTCACGGTGCCCATTATAAACGTCTGGAGCTGATAACCTTCTTGGGGAGCTATGTAAAAAGCTGATGCAGCCCTTGATGGCCAACCGTCTACTAATTCTACGCTGTACCGTGCATTATCACCCTGCAAACATAACTCATAAAAATGTAAACTCCTAACAAATTCAAATTCAATTTAAAAAATCATTTATTCATGTAGGATATTTTAGCCGCTTATGAACGTCAATTATTTTGTACAATATTTTTTTCCCTACCATCCAGTTCAGTATACGGATTCAATTGAGAAGAACTGGCACTGACAATGTTTACTTATATAGGTGTCTATGGCATGTCTAACATTAATTGAAAATACCGTGCCTGAACGACTATTGCCATGCACGCTTGTCATTCAAGTCATCGTTTAGTTAGTAGTATATGTAATATTATGTTATATGTGGTAATAGGCTTTGCTCAGTAAATATGATTTAACAGATGTTTTGAATTTCTTTAAGGGTAATTCCAGTATATCCTTTGGTATCATATTGTAAATTTTATCATATTGAATAAGTATAATTTTTGTATAAGTATACTCGGAAGTCTAGGGGTTTAGCACACCGCCTTACTTCCGATGGATCTGGATTCGATACCTCGCACGATGTAAACATAGCATCATTCTGGGTATTTTCTATTGTTGTGTTTACAATAAAAAAATATTTAAGTATTTCTAACACAGATCTTTTACCCGTAACACAAGCTAGCAGTGCATTGATTTCCACAGAATTTGGACTAGATTGCGTTATGGTTATTATTATTACATGTGTATGAAGTAATCAAGCACATATAGTTAGAGTACAAGCATCTTACTTACCAAATCCCTGTCATGAAATGTTATTGGTTCATCAAATGCCAGCGTTAATGGCGTCTCTTCCGGTATTTCAATACGATATACCTTTGGCGTCGGTTCAGGCCGTTGATCATTTATATCATTTATTATTATCGTAACCGCTTGCTCTGTAGCTAAAGACTCATTGTCACATTTATATGCTATTATTGTCAAATTAAAAATCTCTCTCTGTAGTTCATCTCTGTCGATGGGATGTACAAACAAAATGCCGCCGTCCTCGCCGCCTTCAATAGTTTTAATTTCAAAGTACTCATCTGTAAAAGGCAAAATTTCATAATAATTGGTACTCTGCCTGAAATTTAAATTCATAAATTACCTATATTATAAATGCGAAAGTAACACTGTCTGTTTGTCTATCTCGCTTTAACGCCAAAACTCTTGAACCGATTTAAATTTTGTACACATAGTCTAGAGACTAAGAAAGGACATATGCTACTTTTTAATGCGAAAAAGAGTCATTAGGCGTTGAAAGGGGAATTGAAAGATTGTACCGAAGTAGGTACGCTTTAAAAGGAAGAAGCCTGAAACTTATTTTTTAAGTTGCTGTTAAAATATAAATAAAGAAAAAAGGGTTGTAAGGGATTGAAAGAGGAAATGAAAGATACAAGGATAGAGCGGAACCAGCTGCGTGCTCTGCGTGAACGGTTAAAGTTATCGAAACATGTATAACGAAATTGTCCTATTTATTTGGGCCCGTGCAAAGCCGGGGCGATTGTCTAGTTATATCTAAAGTAAAAAGAAATAAAAATATTGCGGGTATAACCTTCGCCGGGCTGAGTTCTCAACGCGTAGCAAATAGGTTTATCAATGCCAGGATCTCCGTCGACCGCTTGCACAGTAAAGTTCTGATGGCTCTTCTCGTCGAACTGCTGCACCGTGAAGATCTCCGTCCATCTCGGGACCCGGTGTTCCACATTAATCACTTGTACCATTATTGTCACCGTATGATTGTTGGGGCGCGAGTCCTGAACAACATAATAATACTCTAAATAGGTATAATTACGAAAGTATATAAAATCAATCAAATAATAATATCTCAGGACAATTCACACAGCGCCGCCTAATCTGAAGCTTAGAAAGCTTGAGATTGTGGGTACTAGACAATTGATATAAATACTTACACATTTTTGTAAATATAACAAATACATAATATATATAGGAGACAGCCAGACCGACCGACCAAAATCTTACTCATGTTTACACCGTGCGAGGAATCGAACCCGCTAGACCACAGGGTACGTCAAGTAGAAGCACATTATAAAAAAAATACTCACCGAAGCTGTAATGCTGAAGATATGCAAAGCGTTCTGCAGGAAATCGAGCGATCTCTGAAGTCCAAGGGTCATGTCCATATAGAATACATTTTGTCGTATAACTGATTCGATGCGAAATATTTCGTCATCGTCCCGGTTGCTGTCGATTCTGAACTGCATGGCACTTGTACTGATATATCCATCTGCATCCCACACCTCGTATGTACAATCAGTTAGACGGTCAGGGTCTCCCAATTCCTGCGTACAAATATTTCGATTGACACATGATAAACAGATATAATATACAGGTTGTCCCATAAGTACTTTGAAATTTAAGTTCAAAAGACTTCATAGGTCTCTGGTCGAAAGATGTTAATTTAAATATTGTAATGGGTGAAAACTGTGATTGGTACAGTTTATGTTGTAAATAATATAAATGACGTATATGGAGTAACTTGAAACAGTCATGCTCGCTATAAAGTTCAAACTTGTGGCGGCGTGGTGGGCCGGGTCGATGTGCTTCCTCTAATATGGTTGAGTACAATGATGGCTGGCTCATCTGTCATACTCGTGAACGGGTGCTGCTTGTGGGGACTGGTCTGTTCAGGTTGCGAATACTGATTAGATTTTTTGATTTTTTTTAATTTTCTTTATATAGCATATGCTGGTGGTCACTCTATTCTCCCAAATTTGAATTTAAATGAACCAGTGTTATTGTAAATATGTACAACATTAAAAAAAATACGAGTTGAGTTTCTTGTCAGTTCTTCTCATCTATCTCGAAATCATTCCGAACTGACGGTAGATTTGACATATCATAAGAGTCTGTAATAGACCTACATGAATAAATAAAGATATTTTGAAAGACTTATGGGATAACCTGTAGTATAAAAATGAAAGGGAAATATGAAGGGGAAAGGGGTTTAGTAAAGTGAACTAATTACTCCATCAAATCAAAATATCTTCATTCATGTAGATCTATTACATACTCTTATGATATATCAAATCTACCGTCAGTTTAGATTGCTTTCCAGCTAAGAAGAACTGTTAAGAAACTCAGTGATTTCTATGTTGATTGTCGCATGCCTAATTTGTTGTTATTGTTAAAATAATAGATCTACTTAAAACATCATTTATTTAAAAGAGCAACACACAAGTTTCTTGCTCATTCTTCTTGTGACGAGTCTGCGTTTCGAATGAGTGGTATTATAGAATAAAATAAAAATATGTCTCTTCGGAAGTGCTTATATTAAGTTTATTTGAATGAAAATTATTCCTATTTCTATTTCGCATAAAACGCATATTTGATAGAATACTACCAAATAATAATAAACTCCATAGTAAGAAAAGTCTGCTTACCTCTACTTGGCAAGCGCCCAACAAACTTATCATTGGATCATTGTCATCTATATTCACTATTTGCAGTAGGACTTGGGCATTGAGCGGGGTCTCCTCTGGTACTCTAATGTTGAACATGTAGCTCTGCATCCCAGGACTTTCATAATCCTGTCTATAATAATTAATAATAATAACCCAGGACAATTCACACAGCGCCAGCCAGTCCCAAGCTAAATGGAACTTGTGTTGTGGGTACTAGCTAATTGATATAAATACATTTTTTAAATAAATACATAATATGCATAGAAAACACCCAGAGCACTACAAACAATTGTAATCATAAATACAAATTTCATACCTGCGACTTTTTTTTTATACGAACTTAAATGCTGTTGGTCTCAGCTGGCCTTTACAGCTTCACCGGACGTTAGGGGGCGAGTGCAGATGGCACTTCAAACCCGCGGAAGGACTTATGGAGCGGCTGAAGGCCAACTCCTGCCTGACGGATACGTCTTTAGTCTGAGGGCACCACTAGGGGTCCGAACCTCGGGTCAGGCCGTCGTAATATCGATCCCCGTTTGAATTAGACGGGGGATCGATCGGAGCGGCGCCCGGGGGCGTCGGTGTGGAGCGCCCGGTTGAATGCGCGATATTGTGTGTTTGAGGTCGTCGTCTTCGCCGGCGAGGACGGTGTCGTGTGTGTGTGTAAAAGTGTAGTCGGGGTAGAACGAGTGGGCCCGTGGGGAGGTTTCCTGCCGTTATGGGGTCGTCGGGGTCAATGAGAACGTGCCTCGGGCGACGTAGTCGAGTATGTCGGATATTACTCCTCGGTGCGTAGTCGACCGCACTGACTATAAGCAGGTTAGGATGGGATTGGGCAGAGTCGAAGTAGCGTCGAGACGCTTCCTTAATAAACTGCTTGATGGAGGACAGATTAAGGTCGCGGTGGAGATCTACGTTACGAACGAACCACGGCGCACCAGTGGCTCGACGCAGAAACCTATTCTATTGTATAATCTGTAGTCTGTTAATTAAATAGTTGGGTATGTGGGCGAATACGGGACTGGCGTATGTCATGATATCGGAAGTAAAGCGGTATGCAAAACGCTGAACCACCGAAGCCGTCAGATTACTACTAGTCGTTTAAAAGGTCTCTTATAAGTTACTAACTACCCGACCCGGATCACTCTATCTATTGCTAAAAAGTGCATTAAAATCCGTTGCGTAGTTTAAAAGATCTAATCGAATGGACAGTGGAAACGATTTCATTTTATATCATGTAATAACTAAGTAAAGAACATCAGATTGATCGTGTTCCGCCTTAGTAGGACTCACGGAAATAAACGAGACTGTGGTAACGACCATCACAACATTTTAAAGTTTACTTCTGGTAAGTAAAAGCAATCGATTGTTCAGACGTTCAGACGGTGGCCCCCACAAAAAAAAAAATTTTATAACTCTCCACTAAAAAATACGTGTAATCCTAAATTTTCATCCTTCTTCTTCTTCCACCCTATTTTTTAATAACGCCATTAATTTATATGGCAAAAGTAAAAAAACCCTCGAGTGACAATATTTGTCCGGTTTGGTATTTTTTTATAAAATTATCTTATTATAGTCTAGTTTTAAAATATAACAAAAGTGGGTACATACCTTTGCGTAATAACAATTAACCATTCATTGTTATCTCCTCGTCTAAATACGGGTTGAAGCAAATTAAAAGATCCAAGCATGAATGGTACTTCGAATTCTGGTTGAGTACTTCCTAAAAACATATGATTGAATTGTTTACCTAATATAATGGAGTCATAGGACGATTTTTAAATACATACACTGTTTTAGAATTGGCTTTAAAAATAGAGTTTTATTTTTAAGAATTGGCGTTATTAGGAGAATAGATTTCCATTGTTCACCCGGTGTCGCGTGGTCTGTCCCAACCACCGAATATACCAAATCTACTGTAGTTCAATTATTAGTAAAAAAATGTACAATTCAAATGAAACAGCTTAATTATTTACATTATCTGTTGTGGTTCTTTAGAGCCTATCTCGTGATCCTTTTTTATTTAACCCCCTAACGGCGCCCTCTAACTAAAGTCGTATCCGTCAGGCGGAAGTTAGCCTTCAGCCGCTCTATAAGTCATTCGCGGGTTTGGCTTGCCATATGATCCGGTGAAGCTGTAAAGACTAGCTGCGGCCAACAGTATTAGAGTAGTCCGAAATGAAAAACTGGATCCATCCATTATAAATAATAAACTAACCACTTACCGAAGTAATTGAGTCTGGCTATAACAACATCCTCTTCAATTTCCTCGTCCATGTATATTATCTGTAGTGAGTGTAATGATAGTGGGTCTGGGTAGTTTTCAGCGCATACATCTTCGCGTTCAGGTCGAGCTGGCAATATTGGTCGTTCGCTCCATGGTATACCTATTGATACATTTAATTTTATAATATGTAATAACGGTTCGGTGATCTAGTGGTTTAGTACATCACTTTACTTCCGGTGGTCACGGATTTGATTCCTCGTATGGTAGTCATCGATTTCTCGTAACATTCATGAGCATAATTAAATAATTATGCTCATGAATGTTACGAGAAATCGATTCTTCCTAAATACAAATGTATTTAGGAAGAAAATCCCTTTTGCTGTGGCTCCGCAATTGCAGAACACGTCCATTATCATCTCTAAGAGTATTGGGATTCTCGGTATCTCTAGCACAGTTGAGTTCCGTAGTCACCTCGAAGAAAAGGTCAAGCTGGCGTCCAAAAAGCTCGGTATTCTCAATAGAGTGAAGCGGTACTTCACTGCGATCCAAAGACTCCTATTATATAAGTGTCAAGTTCGGCCGCACATGGAGTACTGCTCTTATCTTTGGGCAGGAGCAGCTGGATACCAGCTCGGTTCAGAGACGTGCTATGAGAATTGTCGATAACCCCTATTCCTAGTGGTATCGAGCCACTTACATAGTTTGAGGCGAGACTTTGCTTCACTTTTGTGTGTTCTACCGATTATACAACGGAGTATGTTCTGAGGAATTGTTCGACATGATGCCTACGGCCACCTTTTACCATCGCACAGCTCGCCATCGACAGGGAATTTATTCCCACACGCTGGAACCTAAGTGTCTCAGTCTCGGACAGTGCGGAGTCTCGGACAGTGCGGTTTCAGAGGAGCTTCCACCCGCGTACACTTAGATTGTGGAATGAACTTCTCACGAACCTACAGCATGGGGTTTTATATGTATATTAAGGTTTCTTAAGTTCGGCAACGCGCACGTGACACGCCTGTTGTTTCAGGCGACCATAGGCTACGGTAACCATTTACCATCAGATGGGCCGTATGCTTGTTTGCCAGCATAGTAGTATAAAAAGAGGTGTTTTCTATGTATGTATATTATGTTTGTATTTACAAAAAAAGTATCTAAATAATATTATGTGTATAGTACCTACATATAATACAAGCTCTGCTTAGCTTGGGACTATTTTTTTATTTATTTGGTCACTAACAAGATTTACAACAACACAATAACATTATATATTACACACTACAATGTATTTAATATACAAAGCGCAATCTTAATTATAGGCAACTACGACTTTGTAATTGTATTTTTATTGTCAATGCCAGTAATAGAGCAAGAGCCCACGACGGCCAGACATATGTCTTATTAGTAGATAAAAGTAAAAGTTCTTGTATATATGTCCCCGACACAGGTAAGAACGATCCCCAAACATGAAACCTGGATCGTGGTTCCTTTGGCAGGTAACAAAGGTGTAAAAATTTTCATATCAAATTCGTTATTTTAAGAAACTCCATTTTTTCATATATTGTTCGTACCAGTATTATAACTTGCGCTGCTCATTGCCAGACACTTAGTATCGTTACAACCCCCTGCCGGACCCCCCTAAACTATATTATTTTATGAATAAACTTACGTTATTTTAATACAGCTGAATTTTATATATATTATTCAGAGAATTATTATACTCTGTTTCTTTAGTCGCCATACAGTTTTGTGCTTTCTATAATCCTACCCGACGCATTGGAAACGTATTGCGCTAGTGGAGATCATATGCAAGTAAATGGTGCAAGTGAGACAGGGCGTTCGGTCTACTGCTATCTTTTGCTGTGTTTCAACAGTCACATTACCGTATTATTTGTTGAACGTGCTCGTATTCAGTATAATCAGGTTGAAATAAATAATCCTGGACAATTAACACAGCGCCACTAGTCCCACGATAAGCAGAGCTTGTGTTATGAGTATTAGACAACTGATATAAATACTTAGTTTTTTTTTGTAAATAAATACATAATGTACATAGAAAACACTCAACGACCGATACAATTGGAGGCATCGTGTTAAACCGCTAGACCATCGAGCTCAACGATCTAATGGCTAATGTATACAAACCAGTAAAATCTTCATCAGGCAGGTAAGGTCTATCTGGTCTAGGTATCTCTGTCATGAAAGAACATCGAACTGAAACAAAAAATGGCATATAGTTTATACAGAAATTATGTATTTTTGATATAACTGTAAATGCAAAGTTAGTGATCTACCAGATAGTGGTAGCCGTCTATCGCTTACACGCACCCAACAGAATGTATGACCTGCACTACGGGCATATATTTTTTTTAATAGATGATAATGAAATGGTATACCTGTGTTAACTGTCTACGCTGGCGGAGCACCAGTGGAGGATGCTAAGTTAGCACATAGTGGTGAATTCGCTAGGATTTTATCACGTAGGTTTCCAGGAGCTCAACCTAAATAGAGTTGACCTCCTGATACCAGCGGTGTTTTGCTAGCAATCGTCAATAGTTCACATTGCTAACAATTGCCTTCCCCCCACTACGACCGCAAAAATTTTGACGTACCATGAACTTCAAAATGGCAATGAAATGGAATCAATGTCTAACGTGATACCATTTTTAAGGAAATAGCTGTTAAGCCTTCGTGCCCTACAGTTTTACTCAACCTACAACCGCTTGCCTTGCCGTACCACCGCTTATAGTATCATACCAAAATTGTATCATCCGACACCTGCAGATAACTTTGTAAAAAGTCTATTTCGATAATTGTATATACAAATATTCTAGTCAATATCTGTCTTTACACGAAACGTTCTTTCACACGCGATCAGCAGCGTGCGGAAAGTCAGCGCACGTAATTATGAGTGATTTATTAGTTATCATCCTTCTACAATAAATCCCTATTTTTTATTAGCGACTTTAATTCATATGGCAACATTTGCGGCGTCTACTAGTCGTAATATAAATATAATAATACACAATTACCCATGTGTTCATTCAAAATCCTCTCCTCCTGTCCGCCTTGCGCATGAAAATATGACGACGTCAAGGCTGATGAGCAATATTGTCAATTAACCAGATTTTTTACTTCTTTGTACAAAGCAAAAATTTTTAAGGCTAGCAACCCTAATTCAAAAGTTGAACATGTTTGTGATAGTACTCACACTCAGATTCTGCATATATAGTTTCTGCTACCAACAGGAACAGCATTGTTGCTGCAAGTCGAATATGTGTCTCCATCTTGCATGATCTGTAAGCATTTTGATTATTCGATATAACGGTATAAGGTCTGCCCTTAAGGAAGGCCGAAAAAGAGAAGGATGGACTGTGTGAAAGATGATATGGTAAGAAAGGAAGTAAATAACGCGATGACTGCGAACAGGGATGAATGGAAGAGAAAAACATATTACGCCGACCACAAATAAATGGAATAAGGAAGAAGCAGATGATGATGGTCTAAAGGTTCGGTATACAGTCGTTTGTTTGGGTATCTTTCTCTCACTTATTTTATTGGCAAAACATACAGCTTACAAAGTAAGCTGTTTCGCAGTGTTAGGTTTGCATGGTGAGACATGTGAAGTACGATATCTTAGTCCTCTGGAACGAGAATTACAGGCTTTACCATAATGACATGAAATTACAAGGCTGTATGTCACCGAGTTTAATTATTAGAGAAAATGTTCTACAATAACTAAAAAACTTGATTTTCATTATAGGAATAATAATAATAATAATAATCTCAGGACAATTCACACAGCGCCATCTAGACCCAAGTTAAGCTAGCTAAAACTTGTGTTATGGGTTCTAGATAACTGATACATATATACATAGATATTTTTTTTTTGTAAATACATACATATTATACATAGAAAATACCCATGAGTATGATTGTTTGTATCGGTACAAACAATCATACTCATGAATACAAATGTTTGTGCCGTGCGAGGAATCGAACCCGCGACCATCGGTCGTAAAGCGGTGTGCTAGACCGCTAGACCACCGATGGAATGGACCCATCTTTAGTTCATTGGGATAAACAATCCAAGACTGTATAAGAATTCGAATAAATGTGGAAAACATTGGAAAATAATGAGTTTTCTGAGTATCGCAAACAACTATATCTAGGTATACTGTAATAACAGAGTAAGCCGAGTAGACCGGAACATAAATATTTACGGCAAAATTGTATATTGAAAATATTGCTATCGTATTTGGATGAGGGAAGACGCAAGATCTCTGAATAGAAGAAATATGGAAGAATGTCAAATAGAGATAGAAAGAATAATAATAATAATAATAATAATAACTTTATTGTGCAAAAAAAAAAACAAATATAAAAGGGACTTAACTAAGGTTATATATCTATATTAATTCATATATATCAAATAGATATAGAAGAAATATTGAAGAATATCAAAAAAGAAATATTTTTTATAAAAAAAAACTACACTACTTTTTTTTTAAAAACTTAATTTTATTTAAAAAAACAAATATTTTTTATAAAAAAATCTACACTACTTCAGCGCTATCTAGCAGCCAGTAATGAAGTTATGCGAGCGAAGCCGCGGGTAAAAGCTTGTATACATTTCGCTGCGGGAACAGCTAGTGTAACTATAAATGAAATATTAAGCATAATTTGTCATCATTCTTCTATGAACTATTATATTATTTTCCGTATACTTTTACAATATCTGCTACTAAATAACTTATGTATTGAAAAAAGTCTAATAATAATAAATAGATTATTAATGTTTTTAATCATGATATTATAAATATTTTGATAACAATTTTAATACAGTGCATTAAATTAGATTTAATAAGTTTAATCATGTGTCAGAGTGTACGAATTTTTTTTTTCGGATTATTCTAATTCTGTTGTTCGTAGCTGGCCTTTACAGTTTTACCAGTCGATAGGGGCCGAGTGCAGATGGCATTCCAAACCCGCAGGACTTATGGAGCTGCTGAAGGCCAACTTCCGCCTGACGGATACGGTTTTATTCTGAGAGAACCGCTAGGGTTCGGACCTCGGTTCTAGTCGTAATTTCGGTCCTCTTTTGAATTGGACAAGGAATCGATCGGAGGGAAAGGACAGTGCATGGAGTTTTTAAATTTCATATATTGAAACAAATACAAATAGATTGTTGTTTGCCGTAACTTGTCACGCGTAGCGCTAATTTTCAGTAGTAATGTAATAATAGTGTGTAGTCCTAGAGTAATCACAGCTTGTGATATATAATTAGACAATGTTTATATACATGTTTTTATATTAAATATATTAATAATCTAAATATATATAACTCAAAGGTAACTGACATAGTGATCTATCAACGCACAGCCCAAACCACTGGACGGATCGGGCTGAATTTGGCATGCAGGTAGATGCTATGACGTAGGCTATCCGCTAAGAAAGGATTTTGATAAATTCCACCCCTAAAGGGACAAATTAACGCGAGCGAAGCCGCGGGCAAAAGCTAGTATAACGATAAAAGGGTCTATTTTTTATTAACACATTCGCTGCCGACAAAATAATGGAAAATCATACCAGGGAACCAATTTATTTTGAGGCGAATTTAGATTAAGTATATACGAATATTTAAAAATATGAATGAATGTATATGGTTATTATTATAATTTTAATAAAAAAAAAAAACATCTGTCGCTCAATCGGATCCGAGTGGGAGGCACCGGCACTATGGCCCTGCACCACTCGGATCCGAGCGGTAAGCAGTAAATGTGTTAAGTATTTTTACGGCCCTGGAAATTTCCTTTCAGCCAAATAAAAATGTCCCTACACCAGTATCTCTAACGAACCTTTTGTGCCTTGTGGTTGTTTGTTTTGGTTTTATCGATCAATATTATGGTTATATGCACACATTTCGGTATTTGTTATTCTCACCGTTGCTTTTCAATATTTCAATATACTCAAATCCTTAATATTACAAATGTGAAAGTAACTCTGTCTGTCCGTCTGTTTGTAGCGCTTTCTCGCCAAGACTGCTGAACCGATTTAAATGAAATTTGCTACTCAGATAGAAAAAAGGTTGTAAGGGGTTAAAAAGAGAAATCAAATGTTGTATTTTTTAAAGCTAGAGGTTTGAAACTTATTTTTAAGGTTGTTAATAAAATATAAATAAATATGACATTTAAAGTATGTAAAAAAATTACCCTTAAGAAGGAAAAATAAAAGTAATATAGTCATTTTTGAAGATAGAACGATAAAAAAAAATTTCTTCAGATTTTTGGGTCATATGATTAAATTATTTTTGCTATCTAGGGTCAGTATTATACGCGGACGGAGTCATGGGCACAGCTAGTACTATATGCATGCAAAAATCTTACTTATTTTTAAAAAACAGCCATATTCATCACATTAATACTAGACTTACAGACAAACTTGCTGTTCCTAAGTATCGTTTAGAAAAAGGCAATGGATCTTTTATAGGAATGGGTATAAAAATTTACAAGAAGATACCAAAGGACATACTGGAATTACCTTTAAATAAATTTAAAACATCTGTTAAATCATATTTATCTACTGAGCAAAGCCTATTTACTCATCATATCGTATCATACTATTTAGTATGATATGATCTGAATCTATGTAGACATAGACACCCTAACACCCCACAAAAATGTAAATAAATCGTTTTTGAAAAAAAAAAAGAAATTCAGTTGAGTTTCTTGAATCTTTGTACTGAATTGGAAGGTAAGGTAAGTAGTGTAGGGAAGAAATATGACGTTCTTAAGTGGCAAAAAGTCCTACATGAAAAAATGATTTTAGATTTGGTTTGATTGTTTACCTTGAGTGAATTGTTTACCTTGTAATTGCAATTAAATATTATTCACACACACAAATTACTACAATAACACAAAACCACTATATATCACAATTGTATAATAATACTAATACGTTGAATAAACTTTTTTAGCTTCCACTAGTACTAGACGTAAATACTCCATTACAGTACTGACTGGTTTTTTTTCATTACTTCCACATCAAAGCAGATAAGATTATAAAGATATATATATCTAGATAGATTATATGTATATATATATTTATTGGCAGTGGTATGTTGATTATTATTTTAGTATTATCGATAAGACTAATAATATTAATTATTGATTACATATCGTATACGTAGCTAATGATTTAAAAGGAAAAAGTCACGGACATGCTCGTATATAAAACTATTTATTGCTCTGTACTGTTGCATGGAATAAATAAATAATTGTATACCAAATATTAGGCATTTGTACTTGTATCTATATACAGTTTTATGTATATTAGCTTTTACCCGCGACTTCGCTCGCATTGAATCCATTAAATAACTTAATTACTGGCTAGATGGGGCTGAAGTGACAAAATGTTGATATTTAATTTATTTGTTTTTTATAAAAGAATGTTTGATTTTAAATAAAAATCCTATGTTCATTCTAATACCTCCAAGAATATGTGTACAAAATTTCATGACGATCGGTTTAGTAGTTTTTGCGTAAAAGTGTAACAAACATCCCTAATTTCACATTTATAACACTGGTAAGGATAGGTAGTTTATTATATTAGAAGTAAATTACAGACATATAAAGGTATAATCAATAGTATAAAACAATTAGAAATTAGCAGCACAAGAAAATGAATCTGTCTGCTGAAGAAGTCATTTTTGTAGTCTTTTTATTTTCCCGCGAAAATATAGTGGGCCACAGATGTACAAAATTGCACATGCAATAATGTATAGTTTAAATTTATTAATGATTACGTGAATTAGATGCTATTATTATTTTTATCTTTTCTTGTCTCTTTTTTTATCAGTTTAAATGAAGGTAATACTCACTGGCCGTAGCCAACTGTGGGTAGAATGGGAGAGGTTGCGCTGTGTGAAGATATTATTGAGGAAGTCAGGAATTTCCTAATTATGCGATAGGTATTCAGTATTGTCACTTTTTGTAAGAGATATGTTTTACTAGGGTGAATATTTAGTGTTTGCTTATTATTATTATTATACATTATATTTTATATATATCTACAATTTTATCATTACCTAGTATAAAACAAAGTCGCTGTCGCTGTCTGTTCGTCCCTATGTATGCTTAAATCTTTAAAAGTACGCAACGGATTTTGAAGCGGTTTTTTTAAATAGATAGAGTAATTTAAGAGGAAGGTTTATATGTATAATATATGTACACCCGGGCCATGCCGGGACTTTTATACAATTACTAGCTCCTCACTGACTCACACACACATTGTATAAAATTGAACTGGTTCTTCATCTCCTCCGCTTGTTGTGACCAACAATGTCCATAATTGATCTATTTTGAATTATACTGTAAAATTATGGAATACAAAGCTTAAATAAATAAATGAAAATGGTTCCTTCCTAACTCGGGCTATTTTATTTCACAGTAGGCGTTAGATGTTGCTAGATCTGTAGCCGCTCGGATTACAAGTGGTTGCTTAGTAATAAAGCATGGAAAGTGTGGACGATGGGGCGATAAATGATATAGGTACCATTGTTGGCCACCGACCGCCACAAACTCTTTCGATATTTATATTAATTTTAAATTTATTATTTTGAAAAGTTCTTTTATATATGTCATGTTATTTAATATACTTTACTAGAATAAAGTATATTAAATATGGTACTATAATATAATATATACTATCAAAAGGACATTAATTGAATAATACAATAGATTGTATTATTCAATCATTGTCCTTTTGATAGTTCGCAACTACACATTCATATATTATATTGTTATAAACTACGTGTTTTCATCATTTAAATATTCATACAGTGCACCGATCCATTACAACCATTGTATTCACACAAAATCTTAAATATGTAATACTGAACTATGTTTATTTAAAAGAGCTCGTTCTTCTTGTGATGAGTCTTAATCTGTTGAACTTAATTTCGCTGGAAGGCTCTCAATGTGAGCACCCCATTGAGTTTGATGATCTAGTGTGATTTGTAGAAAGCTAGTAGATTCTATAAAGAGAGTTTCGTAGTTTAATTTTATATTGGTATAGGAATTAGTATCTGAAAAAATAAAACATTGTTCAAATTTTATAAATAAAACTTCTTGGCAGCAGAAATATATATGTATATATTTCTGCTGCCATAAAGTTTTATTACTTACTTACGGACTAACATATATATATATACATGTTAGTCCGTAAGATATAATATTAATTCATATGTATGTTAGTCAGTAAAGTATTTATAATATGGGCCTAATAGCCTGAAATAAATAAATTATTGTCCGGATTCGGGTCACAAACACTTTGAAGCAGATATTTATGTATCTGCTAATGTCTACCAGATAGATAAGTTGGCGGTATTTTACTATCAATAAAGTATTGTGATTATTAATGATATGCATTCAAAATCTACTTTAAATAGATAACAAATACACCACTGTTACAAATAATTGCGTCTCATTATTTTGAGATGCGTAATTCATGAGTCAACATTCGCAGAATATATCTATATGTAAAAATTTTTCTTACAGCTGTTTGTCACTTGCCAGGATAAAGATATACTTTTCACAAGTAGACTTTTCAGTAAATGTAATTTATATAAGCAAAAAACCCTAATGCAATAATAATAATAATATGAGGACAATTCATACAGCGCCACCTAGACACAAGTTAAGCTAGATAAGCTTGTGTAATGGGTACTACATAGATAACTGATACAAATACATAGATATATTTTTCGTAAACACATACATATTATACATAGAAAACAACCAGATCAATACAAACAATCATACTCATAAATATAAATGTTTGTGCTATGTAATGACTAACTACTCGCCCCGGCTTCGCACGAGTGTACATGTATTATATATATAAACCTTCCTCTTGAATCATTCTATCTATTAAAAAAACCGCTTCAAAATCCGTTGCGTTGTTTTAAAGATTTAAGCATACATAGGGACAGACAGCGACAGCGAGTGTTTTATACTATGTAATTATGATAACTTATTAATATATATATCTTATTAATATAAAAAAAGCGAAAATTTGCGAGAATAGATATCTATCCATTTAGATGTTTGTTACTATTTGACACTAAAACTACTGAACGAATTTTGATGAAACTTTACAATAGCGTATACATTAATATAACACGTAGGCTAAGATTTAAAAATTATCATATAAATCTATTGGGCGAAATACAATGATAAATGTCATTTAAGTGAGAAGCATACGAAATTTCACTGGTTAGCTAGTTGTACCATAAATAAATAAAGAAAACTGTCGAATAATCAGTTTTTTGCAGCTTTTCACTTGTCAGTTAAATATTATCTATTAGCTCTGCCCGCGATTTCACCCTCGTGAAATTTATAGCCTATATACTATTCTGATGTATAAACCATATTACTGTAAATTTTCATCAAAATCTGTTCAGCAGTTTTTCCGTAAAAAAGTGACAAACATTCATACTTACAAACTTTCGCGTTTATAATTAACACAGATAAAATATTTAACTGACAAATTACAAGTTAAACCAAGGTATAAGCCAGTTCATGAAACTGAAGAAACTTCGCCCAGAAGTGAGGGTAGGCTAAAAATATTTTATTAAAGCCTACAGACTGCATTACCGACTGCGCGGTCACGTGATCGATTTTGTACGTAAGTAAAGTCCATAATTTATTTTCACACTAGTTCTTACCCACGACTTCATCCGCGTGTAATATTTATATTAAAATAAAATTAATTTCTAAAATAAAAGTAAACCAACTTACTCCTTATAACATTAGCTATCTGCGAGTAAATGTCACGTCAAAATCTGTCAAGTTGTCAGAGATCAGACAAACAGAAAAAGGAATTTTTCACGATGGTTTCCAGGGGGAACCGCGTGGAGGTCAACCTGACATGGTGCATTGCTAGTAATGGGGTCATTAGTTCATATTACTAACAATCCCCTTCCCACAACTGTTAATTTGAAATTACAAACACATAAATTTTATGTACATATTTGTATAGAATTCACTTTATTCTTCCAATATTGTTACCATCGTTACACCTCTACCAGACGCAAATCTAATCACTTCTCTCCATCCTAAGGTTGCCTGGAAGAGATCGGTTTTTAGCGATAGGGCCGCCCATTGTTACCTCTTTGTCTTGTTTATTGTTTTTTTTTATCTATTTATACATAATTGTATGTATATATAGAGGAACAATAAGAGTTTCATTCATTCATTTAGTTTGTTTTGTATAGAATTTCGTTAGTATAGAGTTTTTTTGTGAGTAAAGACAAGGAAGTTTACCTTTTACGACATAAATGTTTGACGTCCTCGGTGGTCTAGCGGTTAAACACACCGCCTTACTTACGATGGTCGCGGGTTCAATCCTCGCACGGCACAAATAGTTTGTATCAGTCTGGGTATTTTCTATGTATAATATATATGTGTTTACGAAAAAATATATATCTATAAATATGTATTTGTATCAGTTATCTAGTATCCATAACGCAAGCATCTAGCTTATCCTTTTTTTTTTTTTTTTTTTTTTTTTTTTTTTTTTTTTTTTTTTTTTTTTCACGTCAGGAAAATCCATCATGGAGAACCATTCCCTTAGGGAAGAATGGATACTGCCGGACTCCTACCTGCTAAAAACCTGACGACTGTTCCTCCTCGACATAATCGCCGTGGCCATGGGATACGCAAAGCATTCACCAAGACCACCGGCATGGTTCCCATCGAAGGGACCTCCATCTAGGCGTGCAGGGACCAGTCTCTGCACGCCACCTCCAGACCCTAAAACCTCCCCGGCGAGCTTCGGATTGCCCTAACAATCCTCCACCCTAGGGTCAATTTTGGAGTCGATGCACACCTGATTTTACTCAAGTGTCCAGCTTAACTTGGGCCTAGATGAGCCTGTGTGAACTGTCCTGAGATTATTATTATTATGTAACCTCCGTGATTCCTTTTAACTTGAACTCAAGCGTTGCATTACCTTATTTCAATTATTTACTATATCTATCTTTATTTACTACTCAATTATTTATTTACCTTATTTCATTATCCCACAGTGGAATCTTTTGTGTACATAAGTGACGGCCTTGGTGGTCCAGTGGTTTGCACACACCTTTACTTCCGATGGTTCTGGGTTCGACTGGCACGGTGCATTTGTATTCATGAGTATGATTGTTTATATCGGTTAGTATTTATAACAGTTGTCTAGTACTTATAACACAGGGTATTTAGGCTTAGCTTGGGAGATGGTGCTGTGGTTAATATTAATATAAGTATAAATTATGGCTTTATATAATAAAAACCTATCAATTACTTGTTTTTCTAAATAATTAAATTTAAACATAGATAAATTAAGAACCGCCCCCTTTATTAAATTGTTAATGAGTTGTTAACGAAATTAATAAATACGTCCAATCGAAAACTCCAGATAATGTAATGTCATCGTAATAATTAACCCTGATTAAAATAAGTATTAAATATTTCTACATTTATAGAACATACATTCATCCATATATGCTCGTAGGTACCTAATATTGTTAACTAGTACTCGCATAACTTGAAGACAAGCTATTAATTTTGTTTATTATTTACTAGGGGGTATTGACATCGTGGTACGTTTTGAACGTTCGTTACACGCTGTACATCGACGACTGCGCGTGTTCCGGCCTCAGTTACTTTGAGCGCGGCGTAGAGTTATCAACCGTGAGACGTGCAAGAGATTAACTAGTAAGTACATTTCTTATAATATAATAATTTTAATTAATTAATTATTTAAAGTAAATTAATACCCGTGCAACGACAATTGTGTTTTTCAAAGTAACATCCATTTTGTTTTCGTTCTGTATTCAAATGGCGAAATATGGTCAGTGTATTTTATGTAATTACAATTGTAATTAATATGAAAATTAATAATTTAATGGGTTTTTATTAATATTAATGATAAGTAGACGTGGCATGACCAAATAACTGAGAAGTTTCCTGTTCGTTGAATACGATTTTAGAAGCGTTTAATACATATAGTGAAGGTAGGTAGTTAAAATGCTTTACAACTTAAACTCATGTTTTAATTCGCACAATTTGAATTGGCTTTTTTATGTAATGGCAAACAAGGGGATGGTCCACCTGATGGTAGGTGGTAACCGTAGGTTATATACATGACACCACATGATGCTCGCGTTACCACTCATTGCGTAGGGTGGTAGGGGATTGTTAATATGAGGATAGTAGCCTCATTGCCAGCAATATACTATATCAGGTCGGCCTCTGGAAACCATCAGCCAATTTCTGGTAAATTAGGATTGCTTAACTGACATGACTTAATCCTATCATCCTTCACTTATTCCCCGTCAATATACTTTTAGCGCACACGAGTGCACCATTATATATGCATAATCATCCCGGAAAAAACCACTCCATTTATTTACTGTCTATTCTCAAGCACCACTATTCCGGAGGTCTATGGCATAGATATTTATCTAATATGTTTGGATAATATTTCACCTTTACCCTGAATTAAATATAATCCTTAAAGTATGCCTACAATGGGTACATAAATTTATTTATTGTCCCTAGATTGCATCTTGATAAATTTGATACTCAGTCTGCCTAATTTCGATTCTATTTGGCTTTAAAAATGAGGGTTGTCTTGTATTACGTTTTTTCTTTAAGCCATAAAGTATATAACTAATAACTAAGTAATAGACTAAGTCACTAACTAATAAACTATAGACCCCTCTTGATTGCATATGTTCGCAATTATTGCAGATATCTCAATTTTTTAAATAAAACACTGTCCATTTTACCTTCTGATGATTTAGTTTTTCTTATACAGTTCTTTTAAATATGTTGCTTGCGAGAACGTTCAACATTTTTTTTATTAAGCTGATTTACGGTTCATTTTGGTTTGAGTGTTACCATCACCGTGGTTTTTTTTAATGGATGATAATGGAACGGTGCGTCCGCGTGCGCTAACGGTTTACCCTGACGGGACACCAGTGGAGGTTCAATGGTCAGGTCAGATATTTCATAATGACAAATTCACCAGGAATTTATCGTGATGATTCCCAGGGGGAACCGTGTGGAGGTCAACCTGTCGTAGTACATTGCTATCATGGAGTAATCAGTTCTCATTCCTAATAATCTTCTTCCCCCCACCATTACCGAGTTAGTCAAAAGTATAAATGAACATAAAACGTATTTTTATATCGACCAGATTTGAACCCACTACCATTGGGTTCTGAATAGCGATAGTAAACCGCTAGACCACAAGCCCCCTAACACAAGACAGAGGCAAATAAATGAGAAAGAGATAACTGTTGCTTGATTGTTATTATCTTCGAGCTACGAAATAAACAATTGGTGTGATAATATTTAGTACATATTATTATAAGGCGGTGCATTGATAAGATTAAAGTAAAAGTGAATGTTTAAACCAATACTATATTCAACAACAATAATTATATTTAACACAAAACAACAATATTATGTAAAACAATACTGTATTAAACAACAATAATTACTTTTAATACAAAACAATAATATTATTATTAAAAACAAAACAAAGCGTAAAAAATATTTAATAAATAAATGCTCTTCTTACACGATAGATACATTTTTTAATGAAAGTGTATTCTATGTATGTATTTACAAAACAATATGTATGTATTTATATCAGACTTGTGTGATATATGTATAAAACAAAACTATTACTACCTAATTTGGTAATTTGCAAGGTTAAATCTAATTGCAATCCATTTTTTTGTGCGGTGTTTTATAATAAATTTAGATTAGGAATGCATATACATAATAGTTATTTAGATTGTTATAATTGTAAATAGGTGTGGCATGTCAGTGAGAACTAAATGTGAGAGACAATCTTAAAGCTATACACCATTATGACACATTTAACCCAATCTATGACTAAAAAAAAACTACAAAAAATATAGATAGAATAGTTTTCAACACAACTCGTGAAGTGAAGTCATAGATGCAATGTACATACATATCTATTTTTCTTGTGCTGTCTGTATCAGATCTCATAGACATCAGACTCGATACAAAATAATAGCTAGGCTGAAAGGAAATTTCCAGGGCTGTAAAAATACTTAATAAAAAAAACAAAATAATAGCGACCCCATCATACGTGCCGTACGCTTGTTTGCCACCATTATAGTATAAAAAAGAAGTAGAATAGAAATTACTTTGTTGATTGCAAAAAGAGTAATCAAAAACTATATAAAAAAACAGGAAAGAATACAATGGAATCGAGAACCTTCTTCTTTCAAGTCGGTTGTAAGGTTCACTTGCCATGAGTTAACTCGTAAGTTAGCTGCTAATACAAGGTTAATGACTTTCTTGATAAACGTAGAATAATAAAGTTACGAGTATTTATAATTAAGTAAAGACGTAATTAATTAAAGGCATTTAAGATTTTTTTCTATTATGATAAACATTATATATCGCACTATACCTAAGCTAAATATATTTAGAATATATATATTTATTCAAATTTAATTAAATAAAAATATTTGATTAATTTGTCGTTTTGAATAGAGATAGAATAGAAAATCCTTTATTCAAAAAAGAATTTAGATAAAATATTCATAGTTATCCTTCTTTTAATCTACCGCTCATTCAGAAATTTGTCTCATAATAAGAACAATGAATAAGAAACTTGCGTGTTACTTAAATAATCGATTTTTTTGTAAATTAAACATTCAAATATACTTTGAGAGGTTTTCTTCCTCAATACGAATAGAGTTTTTAAATTTCGAATACAATTTTTTCGAAATTTGGAAACTATTAACCGTAAAGTGCACAGAGCAATTAACACTTTTCATAAGAGATAAAAATTGAATCTGTGTAACAATCTGTAAGGGTTCCAAAAAGAAGAGATAGATAAAATTTAAGTACATTCTAGACTTCATTTGCAATATACAACGACAGAATATACGTATTAATACTTAAATTAAACACACGTGTACACGACGCATTTTTAAAACTTATACATATAGACTATATTTTAAAAAGGTATTATCTAAATTAGGCGAAATACATTGATAAATATCAAGTAGCATACAGACGTCCTTACTGTAAGTTGACGGGTCGGCTAGTTTATATGTAAAAATATCGTATTCGATTGTCATTGTTTTTTATACGTTTTTTTTATACATATTAACACATTATTTATTATTTTATTATTTCTTCTTAACAACCGTCTTTCCATAATTACATTTACCTGCATAATAATAAAGTGTAATTTAGCGTAAAGTACATACAATAAAACGTCATTGTTGCAGTTGCAGTCTGAGTGGTAGAATAAACAAAATATAACTATTAAAAAATGCTTACAAAAGTTTATTTGAATGAAGAATATATCTGATTCTATTTTTAAGGTAATCTTTTTGGGATTATTTTGTAGGAAATGGTATCACAGTTCATAAAAAAAATATTTTGTTCCTATTGACTGTAACCTGGTTTAAACAAGTCGAAAATCGTTTATTAGTGAAAATATTTATAATAACAAACAAATTTAATTAAGAAGTATAGTGCATAATTGATTTTTTAAATACCAAAGTATTGAAAGTCAAGCTTACCACAATATATTAGTGAAAATCGCATCCAAATCGGTTAAGCCGTTTTCTCTGGAAAACGGCTTAATTTGAAATACGACAAATCTCTTAGTTAAAAATATATATTGACAATCGATTTTTTCGTGCCGGCCAGTTTCGATCTCACGACCTTTGGGCTCTAAGTCAAGATAGTAAACCACTAGGCCAGGCCGCCCTCATATTTAAAAGTAACTAAACAAAATCATGAAGATTGTAGATTTATAATATCATTGAATGTTTACTCGTCGAATGAATGGTAAGTTCAAGGGTTCTCTTTACTGATAAGCAATGTAGATAAAACAAGTGTAAAAAAATGTTCGCGCGACATTATTGTTGTAATATCCACGTATCTATTATATATATTAGAATACGACCCCTTTCAGGAGTTCCAAGTTCAAATATGCTACCATTTTTTTATGTATTTTTTTTCTTATTGGTTTGTGTTGCCATTAGCCATAACAAGTTTGATAGCAGAGCGTGGTTCCGATCCATATGGATTTTAAATAACATACTGGCTATTATATTAGTATACGACCCCTTTGAGGAGTTCCAAATTCAAATATGCCACTATTTTTTTTATGTATTTTAATTGGCTTACGTTCTAATATCACGTGGCGGGTTTATTTTTTCAACAAGAAGAAATAATATCTCTTATGGATGATAACGGAATGGTGCACCTGCCTGCTCTAATGGTTTACGGTTTAACCACTACCATGTATTTGACACACCCACAAGTATAGTCTATGACAATAGAACCTTCATAATGATCAAATTTATAATTTTTATGCATTATGGTACATTCCATATATCCATTAGGCGACCTTGGCGTCAGGTCGAAATAGGATTTAGATAGAAATAGGCATCCAGATAGAAATATGCATCTAGATAGAAATAGAAATTAGATATAAATAGGATCTAGATAGAAATAGAATTTAGATAGAAATAGGCATCCATATAGAAATATGCATCTAGATAGAAATTAGATATAAATAGGATCTAGATAGAAATAGAATCTAGATATAATTAGGATCTAGATAGAAATAGAATTTAGATAGAAATAGGCATCTAGATAGAAATATGATACCCTTCCTCCGTAGGGATTATTGGAATATTCTT